GGAGCTTAGAGCTCCCCAGCCCAGCGACTTGCAAAGTCTGTTTTATTTCAAACACTTTGTTCAAAAGACATCTTAGGAGCTTCCCTGGTGGTGCAGTGGTTGAGAGTCCGCCTGCCGATGCAGGTGACACGGGTTCGTGCCCCGGTCCGGGAGGATCCCACATGCCGCGGAGCGGCTGGGCCCGTGAGCTATGGCCGCTGAGCCTGCGCGTCCGGAGCCTGTGCTCCGCAACGGGAGAGGCCACAACAGTGAGAGGCCCGCGTACCGCAAAAAACAATACCCGAAAAACTTCCAGCCACATTGTGCTTTAAGAGACACACCTAAAATATACAGACACAGGAAGGCTGAAAGTAAATCAATGAAAAAGTTAAGCCAGGCAAATAAGGACTGAAATAGAGCTGGTATAGCTAAATTAATATCAGATCGACTTGACTCTAAGGCAAAAAGTATTACTAGACATAAAAGAGGACTTAAGAGGAAGTAATAATCATCCCCTCCTTCAAGAACTGCTTTAGAGTTTAAAGGCTCTTTGGCATTTATTTATTAAACGTCTGATTCTCCCATCAAACCCATGAGATAGTACAGTAGGTGTCACCACTCCCCTTTTACAGCGGAGGAGCCTGTGGCTCAGAGAATTTAGGGACTTGCCTGAGGTCACAGGGCAAGGGAACTGATCTTGATCACAGGTCTTCTGACTCCAGGCCCAGTGCTCTCCCTGTTTAGAAAAGAGAAAACGTAAAGTAAAGAGCACAGCAGGTCTGGGTGGGGAACAGCATGGGCAAAGAGGTTTGGCAGGTAGAAAATGCCCGGAGAAAAGTATGATTGCACCAAGGACACAGCGCGGAGGGGAGTGGGTAGGGCAGAGTCCAGCCCGTTTCGGAGGGAGCCGAAGGCAGGCAGAGTTCTGTCTTGCACGTGGAGAAGTTTGCACGAGGCCCACCTGCCTTGCCTCCGGGCACACCTCGTGCGGCCAGAACCCGAGGACCGCGAGCCTCACCCACCCCATGGCCACCCGCATCCCCGAGCGCGCACGCGCACAGACTCCCGCCGCCAAGTTCTCAGCTCGCGTGGAGGCGCAGGGGGCACCCTCCATGCGGCAGCCCCGCACTGGGCAGGCGCGATCTTTAATGTCTCCGCCCCCGCTCCTCTGCCTCCACCTGCCTGGATCGTTAGCCGTCCCGCCTGAGATCCCCTCCAGGGTCAAATTCGACTGGGTGAAGGTGGACCAGAGGAAGATAGAGGCGCGGAAGGGCAGGTCCAGGAGGGCAGAAAACTGAGTCCTGGTGGGAAGAGAAGAGAGACTCATCACCTTAACTGGACGAGGATGAGGGTGGAGTGGCGGGGGGCAGACGGGGTGGGGGTTGAAGAGCAGATAGACGGGCCGATGAGCCCAGGCATGGGATGAAGGGAATTAGGGGTAGGAAGGGATACTGCGGATTGAGCTGTCTCAAGTCTCCTTTGGAAAGAGGTGGGGTTCGGGGCGGTCCTGGTTAGGAGCATGCGCTGTGGAGCTCCCGGGGTAGCCCTCTGCCACTGCTAACCGGCTTAAGGCCTTGGGCTGGGCAGGTAGTCTCTTTAAGCTCATCTCTAAAACGAGCAGCCTGCTTCTTAGGGCTGCGGTGCAGGTTAAATGACAGGACACATCCTAAAGGCTGCATGATGCTTAGCCCGACCCAGCCACTCCTTAAGCACCATGTATAAGCCCCTACTGTGTGCCACATACTATTTATTCTATGTGCTGTGAATACAGCAGGGAAAAAAAGAGACAGTGGCTCATAGTTCACTGCAGAGAGAACAGCAAACACTAATTTCTGCCGCCTGTCAGGTGGTGATAAGTCATGGAGAAAAATCATGCAGGGTAAAAAGAGGCAGGAGTGCTGAGGGTGGGTGTGGGCAGAGTGGTCAGGGAAGGGCTCCCTGTGAAGTCTGAGCAGGATTGGAAGGAATGAGGGAGAGAGGGAGAGAGGGTTCTGGGCGGAGGGGACAGCAAGTGCAAAGGCCCTGAGGCGGGAACATGCACAGCATTTTGGAAGAACGGTGAGGAAGCTAGTGTGTTCAGAGCAGAGAGAGCAAGGGGAGGGAGTAGAGGGGGAGGGTGGGTTAGGTAAGGGTGGGGAGCAGATAGCATGGAGCAGGGGTCAGCCAACTTTCTTAAAGGCCAGAGGGTAAATGTGTGCAGCCATAGACAAGCATAACCAAAGAGATGAGACTGTGTTCTGACGTCACTTTGTACATAATAATAAGGTCCCCGAGAGAGGGCTTCGAAGCCTTGGTTGAGGATTGAGTGGGTTGGGGAGTCTTTGGGGGTGTTTGAGGTGAGTCAGGACACACCCTGATCTCAGTGTTCACAGGGCCACTCTGCCCTCTGTTGGGAGGAGGCTGTCGGATGTGGGGACAGGGCAGAAGAGGGGAGACCAGTTAGGAGGCAAGAGGAGGGGGTGGCTTGACCCAGGGAGGTAAGGATGAGGTGGTGACCTGGGGCAGATTCTGGGTGTCTGGAAGGTGGAACAGATGGGATTATCTGACGGACTGCACGTGATGGGAGGGAGGGAGGAGTCAGGATGTCCAGAAGAGTGGGATGGGAGTCTTCGTGAGAACCATCTGAAGCTGAGGTCACCTGGGGTGCGAGCATCAGGGAAGTGGGGGTCCCAGGGGTGAGCGCGGAGAACAGGAACCAGCAGAAGAGGCTGGAAAGAGCGGGCAGGCAGGAGGGAGGGAGGGATACTGAGAGGTGGCAGCCTGGAGGCAGGGGCTCCGAGGACGCTGAGCGATCACTGTCCTGCCGCCTTTGCTGCCCCAAGAAAACTGAGGGCTGGGACTTCCCCAGCGGTCCAGTGGTCAGGACCCTGCGTTTTCACTGCCGAGAGCCCAGGTTCGATCCCTGGCCAGGGAACTAAGATCCTGCAACAAGCCGAAGGCTGAGAACTAGCCAGAGGCTTGGCACTGCGGAGATCACCTGGAGGAAAAGCGCTTTGGGGTGAGGGGAGCCCAACTGCACTGAGGTCAGCAGAGCTGGAGGTGGGGGAGGAATTGGGATTTGGGGGTGATGAGAAGGGGAGAAATGGCCTGAGTCCTTCCTGGAAGCTCAAGAGAGGAGTGGGGTTTTTTTTGGTGTTTTGCTTATTTTTATTTATTTATTTATTTATTATTTATTTTTGGTTGCGTTGGGTCTTCGTTGCTGTGCTTTCTCTAGTTGCGGCGAGCGGGGGCCACTCTTCACCGCGGTGCGCGGTCTCATTGCGGTGGCCTCTCTTGTTGCGGAGCACGGGCTCTAGGTGCAGGGGCTTCAGTAGTTGTGGCGCGTGGGCTCAGTAGCCGTGGCTCATGGGCTCCAGAGCGCAGGCTCAGTAGTTGTGGTGCACGGGCTTAGTTGCTCCGCGGCACGTGGGATCTTCCCGGACCAGGGCTCGAACCTGTGTCCCCTGCATTGGCAGGCGGGTTCCCAACCACTGCGCCACCAGGGAAGCCCTCGCTTTTTGTTTTTAAAGATGGAAAAAAATAACCGCTTGTTGAAGTGCTGATGGGAATGAATCCGTCAGGCAAGGGGAAGTGTTGATGATGGGGAAGTGACTTTGGGAGCAGGGACAGGGCCCGGACACATCATAGCCTGTGTCCCACCCACCCCCCACCCCACTCTGTGCCCCGGTGGGCGTGGGGGGCTGAGTCAGCTGTGGGGATCGAGGGTTCTTTTCCTGATTCACAGAATGGGACCTCGGAGGCCGGTGGTGGCCCTGGGTGCTGGCCTTGGGCAGGGGCGATGGGATGGCCCCCAGGGCACAGAGGAGGGTCAGGCTGGGGGTGGGACCGCACAGGATGGGGGAGGGGGCGGGAGAGGCTGTGGACATGAAGCTGGTGAGCGGGGACACTTGTGGCTGTTGATTTCTGACGGCCCTCTTTGGTGGGTGATACAGGAACAAGGTCTGCTGCAGGGGGTGAGAGGAGAAGAGGCGACAGAGGCTTGAGGATAGCAGAGAAAGTGTGAAATAGCTTCTAAGAGGGTGGGGAGGAGGGGACTAGAGTCTGATTCTCCAGCAGCCTTGGGGGTCGCTTGAGGTTGAAGGTGGTAATTTCGGAGCGAGGCCACCACGTGCAGTTGTAGGGTTTCCTTTAGTCACTTTAACCTATGTTGTGATTTTGCTGCGTGAGTGGCAGAGAGGGAGCCAGGGGGTGTGCAAAGGGGATGGTTATAATGCCGGATGGTTAAACTGCAGGAGGCGGGAGAGAGACATCACGGTGGGTCCGGTGGGTCAGAGGACGAAGGGTGGTAGGGGCAGAGGGTCGGGTCTCATGGAAGGAAGGATGGGGCACCAGAGGGAGGGAGCTGGAAAGATGGGTGTGGGCTCTGAAACTGAAATTATGGGGGGGGTGCAGTTTCTGAGGATGACAAAGTCTGGGGGGACCCTGGGAGCAGGTGACTGAGGTTGGGTGAAGGACAGGATGGTGGGAGGTTAGAAGGTCAAGGACTCGCAGACCAGGAGTTGGAGCGATTGCCCACGTGCAGGGTGGAACCACCCAGAAGTTAGGCATGTGCTACAGAAAGTGACAGTGATCTGGGAGCTGAAATCGTCAAGGAATAAATGACGAGGACTCCTTCCTGGCCTGCCCGGAACCTCGAACCAGAGCATTCTAGAGAGGAGAGAGGGAGAATGGTCGGGAAGGGGCGACTGGAAGCAAAGAGGGCCCCCCCCTCCTGCCTAGAGGTCTGAGAGAAAGAGCCCTCCCCTGACAGGGCTGCTCGGGAAGCAGGGTCCACAGGGATCTGTCATCAGTGTTAGGAGTGGGTGCCGGAAGACACGAGAAAATTACAAGGGAAAGGGGTGGTACAGGGGTTGGGGAGAGGAGACCCCAAGGGGCCCTGAACAGGACAGCCGGGGCTGGACCTCAGGGCAACCAGGGATGCTGGGGAAGCGTGGGAGTGGGGACCAGGGCTGGGCGTGGCTGGGTAGGAGGCGGGCACCCTATCCTCACCCCTCAGAGTCCCCCTAATCAAACAGGACCGGCTGCGGTGTGGACCAAGGTCACTGTCACCCTGGCTTTGCCCCGGAGGCCATGGAGCTGAGACCTGACACCAGCCACAAGGAGAATGTGCCCCCCAGGCCGGCCACGCCCCTGGGGCCCCTCACAGGTTGGTCTTCTGGCAGCGCTGGTGGGCTGGGAACCTCCCTGCTCAGGTTCCTGGGGCTTCCAGAAGGCCACAGAGCTGGTGCAGCCAAGAGTGGGAGTAGCCCAAAAACAAATTCAGATTCCTATTTAATTGCCGGTTTCTCTGTGTTCTAGCTGTGTGACCGTGGGGCAAGGTGCTTACCTTCTCTGACCTTTAGTTCCTATCTACAAACTTTCATGGCCCACACTACCTGCCAGGCCCTCCCAGGCATCTCACCCGCCCCCAAGAGGCCTTGTCTCCCAGCTGCAGAATGGCCTGGGGGCTGGGGAGACCGGCAGGGAGGGAGCGCCACCACCTTGGGGCCAGAGCAGCCCACGTTTAGCTGTTTGATATGCTGAGTCTTGCTTTCACCCTAGCTGCGGACACCCCAGCACCTCTTTGCTCAAGCTGGACACCAGGGAGCCATCAGCGACACTTCTCTTTCCTTCACCCTCTTCTAGGCCTTCTCAGCAGACCTGATCTGTCTCCTTCCCTCCACCCTCCTGCCGCCCCCATGCCAGCCCCATCGTCTCTCGCCTGGGACCCCTCAGCAGCCTCCCAGCTATCTCCCTGCTTCCCTCTGCCCTCCTCCCTGCCCCTGCCCTGTCCCTGCTCTGAGTCCCTGCACTGTCACCAGGTCGCTGCTCTGGCTCAAGACCCCCCGGGTGCATCCATTGGTCCACCTGGGATGACAGCGCTGACGCAGACCTCTGGAGCCTGGGCTCCCTCCCATGTGGCACCCTGTCCCTCCCCAGCACTGACCACCAAGTTCTCCCCCAGGACATAACTGTCCTCTTTTTAGAGCAATGGAGACTCCAGAAGAGCCTGGCCAGTACACATGGCCGGTGGGTGCCCGTGGGCCAGGCCGAGAGCAGGGGGCTGCCACCACACCATCCCCGGGAGCAGCGCTGTGCCAGGAGCCCTGCCGAGTCCAGAGCAACCTGACCAGCCCCAGCCTGGGCCTCGCCCTGAGGGACACGCCCGGCAGCTGCAACTTGCAGCCCCTGGCCGGGAGGCCCCAAGGAAGACCCCAGGCATTTGCCATCCAGCAGAGCGACCTGAGCGTCAGGGAGACCAGCGTGGCTGAGTGGGGACGTCGCCTCTGGTAGCACAGCATGCCCGGGGGAAGCCCTCTACCCCGAGGGCCACTGGCTTCCCCAGCCTCCCGCCTGAGGTGGTCCCGGCTGCTGTCCACCAATACCCCCTGCCCAGACATTGGGCCCGCTCGAAGGGCACACATGGCCGGACCCCAGATCCCAGTGTGGCTTGTGGGGGAACCCCTCATCCTGGGGTACCTGGCTGCCCCTGCCCAGAGCCGGACTCGGGCTCCGTCCCAAGTTGCCATTCACCAGCTGCTGGCTTCTGTGCAACGCCTGGAGCGTGAGGCAGTCCGTCTCGGGTGCCAGGCACCCTGGGAACCCCCAGGCCCTGTGCAGCAGGAGTCCTGGACTGGAGCTGGCCAGATACTCCCTGCTCACCCCCAGCCCAGCCAGCCTGTGCTTGCTTCCTGGGATGAGAGGAGGAAACATTCCCAAGGTTTCAGGGAAACTGCAGGTTTCCCGGAAGCACCAGGGGTCCAGGATGGTCTCTCAGACTCTCAGGCAAGCAGCAAGCCTGCATCACTGGAGACTACCTTGGAGATGCTTCCCGGGGTTGCCCTTGACCCTGAGCAATGGGTCCTTCCTGGCCATCCTGTAAGACGAGGAGAGAAGTGCTCCACAGGGACTACATACGGCAGGGGACAGAGGGAGGACCCCCTGCTCCCTCAAGGGGCAGGCAGCAGGGAGGCCAGACTCTGCTCTTCAGCCTCGTCCAGTTCAGCCCAGGGCATCCTCCCTGGGCAGGAAGGAGGGGACAGGACCCCACGGGAGCAGGTCGGCAGGGAAGAAGAGAGGCCGGCTTCTGGTCTGCCAGACACGGCCCCCGTGAGGAGTGCCCTGCAGGTAGAGGCCAGAGGGGTCTGGGATGGGAACTGGGGGACTCAGGGTTGGGGGAGGAGGGCTGCCTCCCAGGAATTCTCGCTCCAACCTGGGTGTCACTCCTCTGTCACCCTCCCTCAGAAAGGGAGGCTGTGGGCAGGCAGGCTTAGCAGGGGGTGTCCAGTCCTGCTTGCTTCTTGGCCTGAGTGCTGTGTCGTGTCCCTTTGTTTTCCAGGAACACAGCCAGAAACACTGTGAGCCTGGAGTCTGAGATAGGCCGGTGAGGTCATGGGCTGGGGGTGGGAGCCGGGGCCATGCTCCTGGGACGCCTCCTCTCCCATTTGCCTGCAGACTCGGGCCTGATGGAGATAAGGCCCGGATGGCAGATCCTTGCAGAATTTCAGGGGGAGGGAAGGCCCCAAGGACAGGAACGCGGGGGCTGCCGCTCCCGGGAATCCTAAACCTGTGAGGCTGTCCTGCATTCATTCCCCTGCCCCCAGGAGCTCTCTTGTCTGGGATTTCCAAGGCTAGCCCTCCATAGAGGGAAGTTCTCCCGGGGTCCAGCCAGCTCTCCTGCCGCAGCGTGGAGCATCACCCTCCATGCTGGAAAGGCGACGCGGGTGCTGCTGAGCCACCAGCTCTCCCTGGGACTGGGGACTGGGCCCATCCCCTGGTCAGCCTGGTCTGTCCCCAGCCGGCAGTGGCTGTCCAGATGTTTCAGAGCGTGTCGGCACTGGGCGCAGAGGAGGCGGGCAATGGCAGCGGCCATGACGCTGGGCTGCTGGCAGCTGTTGCGCAGGGGCCTACGGGCGCCGCGGTGGACACTGTGGCTCCGGCAGGCCCAGCTGGAGGCGGTGTGGGGACGACATACGCAGGCCCTGCTGGCGCGGACCTTCCAAAAGGTTAGGGGCCTCCAGGTTGGACCGTGGGGAGGTGATGAAGTGCCCGTGTGTCTGGGGAGGAGGCTCTCCTGGGGCGCAGGTTGTTCCTCCTGAGTGTTGACAGTAGGGTGGAGGCAGTGTCAGCCCAGACATGACCGAGCTCTGCCTGAATTCAAATCCTGTCTCCGCCACTTTTTTTTTCCCCACATTTTCTCACTGTGTGAGCTTGGGCAAGTTACTTAACCTCTCTGTGCCTTCGTCTCTTTAGCTTTAAAATGGGATCATAGGGACTCCTCTGGTGGCGCAGTGGTTGGGAGTCCGCCTGCCAATGCAGGGGACACGGGTTCGAGCCCTGGTCCGGGAGGATCCCACATGCCGTGGAGCAGCTGGGCCCGTGCGCCACAGCTACTGAACCTGCGCTCTAGAACCTGCGAGCCACAAGTACTGAATAAGCGTGCTACAACTACTAAAGCCTGTGCACCTAGAGCCCGGCTCCACAACAAGAGAAACCAAGGCAATGAGAAGCCCGCGCACCGCGATGAAGAGTAGCCCCCGCTGGCAGCAACTAGAGAGAAAGCCTGCGTGCAGTAACGAAGACCCAACGCAGCCAAAAATAAATAAATAAATAAGTTGATTAAAAAAAAAATGGGATCATAATAGTACATACCTCTCAGGGTTGTTGTGAGGTTAAATTAATAAACATAAGGGACTCAGAACCCTGCCTAGCACATAGCAAGCACTCTACAGTTTCAGTGGTTGCTACTTTTTGTTTGTTTTGCTTTTTGTTTCTGTTTGGTTTCACTGTGTGTCATGCGGGATCCTAGTTGCCCAACCAGGGATCGAACCCATGCCCCCTGCAGTGGAAGTGCAGAGTCTTAACCACTGGACCGCCAGGGAAGTCCCGGTTGTTATTTTTAACTAGTGGTTTGCCAGCCAGGACTAGGAGGGAACTTCTATGTTCTTCCCTCCTTGGGAAAAGTGCTTTAGGAGGGCCCAGCTCTAGGTTTTGTCTCCCAAGGAAAACCCTGCCTCTTGGGCTCTATCTCTCCATTCATTCATTCATTCCCAAAGAGGCAGGGGAGTCTAATGGTATGGCTAAAACCACAAGGTCTGACTCGTGTCCCCACCCTTCCTGGTGCCTGCCCGCCCCCCCTTGCTGCTCAGGGTACACTTGAGGCTACAGCCAACGTCCCTCTTCCTCTTCTCTCTTGTCCCAGTGGAGAAACTTGATTCAGCAGCAGAAAAAAGGGTGGCTTCACATCCAGGCTGGGCCAGGACCCCCATCCTCCGGGGGAGGCCAGGACCGAGACCCCTCAGGAAGGAAGCCGGTGGTGGACACCGCCTGGAGAAGCAGGTGGTCTGGGACACCCCAGGTCAGTCAGTGTGACCTGGGCAGTGCCAGTGCCTTCCCTCCCTCCTCGTCCCCCGTTTCCCCTCCCCCACAAGAGAATGAGGATAAAACCAGCACATGTGGACCAAGATTTGTGCAAAAGGATGTCCATCACGGCGTTATTTACACTTCGTGAAAGCTTCGAAATAGTCTAATACCCAACAGTGAGAGAGAAAATTGTAGTTTAACCATGTGATAAACATTTAGCAACAGTTCAATATGATGCTTATTGAGATGTTTTAAATTCCTCTCCACTCTTTTTTTCTTTATTTTTTGTTTCGGTAGCTTTACTGGTGTTCTTTCTAATCATAACAGTAATGCATGTTTGATTTGAAAAAACATTCGAGATAGATGGAAGTATTTCAATCAATTTGAAAGTTTCACCTCCCTCCTTATGTATATTATTCCCCTTCTTGGAAGTAGGTTTATGGGTATTTGCATAGAATTTTTAATGAGAAGGAAAAGGGTTATGGCAATGTTCAATGAAAAACAAAAAGAGAATACAAAAATAGTACCTAAAATATTTTTTCCTATGAACGTAAAACGGTGCATAGAAAAGAAAACCAGAAGCAAAAATACTAAAATGTTGCATAACAGTGTGAATTACTTAATATCACTGAACTGCTCACTTAAAAATGGTTAAGATGGGGACTTGCCTGGTGGCGCAGTGGCTGGGAGTCTGCCTGCCAATGCAGGGGACACGGGTTCAAGCCCTGGTCCAGGAGGATCCCACATGCTGCGGAGCAACTAAGCCCATGCGCCACAACTACTGAGCCCGAGTGCCACAACTGCTGAAGCCCAAGTGCCCCTCAGCAAGAGAAGCCACTGCAACGAGAAGCCCGCGCACCTCAGCAAAGAGTAGCCCCTGCTCACTGCAACTAGAGAAAGCCCGTGCGCAGCAACCAAGACCCAACACAGCCAAAAATAAATAAATTAATTAATTTAAAAATGGGTTAGAATGGGTATCCTCAGAAAATCTACAAACAACAAATGCTGGAGAGGGTGTGGAGAAAAGGGAACCCTCTTGCACTGTTGGTGGGAATGTAAATTGATACAGCCACTATGGAGAACAGTATGGAGGTTCCTTAAAAATCTAAAAATACAACTACCATATAACCCAGCAATCCCACTACTGGGCATATACCCGGAGAAAACCGTAATTCAGAAAGAGTCATGTGAGGCTTCCATGGTGGTGCAGTGGTTAAGAATCCACCTGCCAATGAAAGGGACATGGGTTCGATCCCTGGTCTGGGAAGATCCCACATGTCGCAGAGCAACTAAGCCCATGTGCCACAACTACTGAGCCTGTGCTCCAGAGCCCGTGAGCCACAACTCCTGAAGCCCAGGCACCTAGAGCCCATGCTCCACAACAAGAGAAGCCACCGCAATGAGAAGCCCGCACACTGCAACAGAGTAGCCCCCGCTCGCTGCAACCAGAGAAAGCCCGCGCGCACCAACAAAGACCCAACGCAGCCAAAAATAAATTAAAAAAAAAAAAAAAGGAGTCATGTACCACAATGTTCATTGCAGCACTATTTACAATAGCCAGGACATGGAAGCAACCTAAATGTCCATTAACAGATGAATGGATAAAGAAGATGTGGCACATATATACAACGGAATATTGCTCAGCCACAAAAAGGAACAAAACTGAGTTATTCGTAATGAGGTGGATGGATTTAGAGTGTGTCATACAGAGTGAAGTAAGTCAGAAAGAGAAAAACAAATACCGTCTGCTAACGCATATATGTGGAATCTAGAAAAATGGTACTGATGGACCTAGTCACAGGGCAGAAATAAAGACTATATGTAGAGAACGGACTTGACACAGTGGGGGAAGGGGAGGCTGAGACGTAGTGAGAGCGTGGCACTGCCATATACACACTACCAAATGTAGAACAGAGAGCTGGTGGGAAGCAGCCGCATAGCACAGGGAGAGCAGCTTGATGCTTTGTGATGACCTGGAGGGGTGGGATAGGGAGGGCGGGAGGGAGGCTCAAGAGGGAGGGGAGGGCTTCCCTGGTGGCGCAGTGGTTGAGAGTCTGCCTGCCGATGCGGGGGACACGGGTTCATGCCCCGGTCCGGGAGGATCCCACATGCCGCGGAGCCACTGGGCCCGTGAGCCATGGCCGCTGAGCCTGTGCTTCCAGAGCCTGTGCTCCGCAACGTGAGAGGTCACAGCAGTGAGAGGCCCGCGAACGGCAAAAAAAAAAAAAAAAAAAAAAAAAAAAAAGAGGGGGGAGATGGGGATATATGTATACATATAACTGATTGACTTTGTTGTACAACAGAAACTAACACAGCATTGTAAAGCAATTATACCCCAATAAAGATGTATAAAAAAATCCAAAAAGTAAAAAAAGAAAGTCACAATAATCATATCAGTATTCCTTAAAAAAAATGGTTAACATGGTAAATTTTATATTACGTGTATTTTACCACTATTAAAAATACAAATAAATAAATAAATGTCATCTCCCATCCCCCCCCCCAAAAAAAATGCTAAAATGGTGGTCATCTCTGGAGTGGTGAGATTAAAGGTGGTTATTTTCTTTTCCTCAATTTTCCATTCCAGTGATGTATTGTTTTTGTTCCTATTTCTAAATGAAACAAATGTATTTAAAATAATTATTTAAGTAATATTTATTGTAATGCATGTGTGTTGTAAAAAACCCTAATAGTTTTTTCGAGAATTCAGCAAAAGCAGAACCCTCCCCCCAAATCACTTACATAATCAGGAGTAGAACGTACTGTCTGGAACAGAACAGGGGGTGGCTCAGTGCACCTTTGCTCCTGCAGGCAGATGGCACTGCAGGACTGGGGTGGATGGGTTGGGACCAGGTGCCCTCCCTCTGCCTGGGCATCAGTTTCTCTCTGGGCAATTTTACTCTCAGTCCAAGGAGTCGGAGGGAGGAGGCGGGAGCCCAGCGATTCCATTGTGTTCTGGGCCAAGGCCAGAAGGAGGAGACAGGGGAGTCCAGATCCTGCAGGCTGGTAAGTTGTGGGGCGCTGGGAAACGGGGGAGACGGAGCCAGGCCGGGCAGGGGGTCCTCAGTGAGTGAATGAGTGTTTATCAAGTATCTACTCTGGCAACTTCCCAGACAAGATCTCATTTGATTCTCTCGTGGTGACCTCAGCAAGGCATTGTGCCCATTTTACTGATGGGGAACTGAGGCACAGAGACATGAAGTGACCAACTCAAAGACACAGAGTATGAGAGGCGCGCATCCTGCATTTGTGTGCCATGGACGCTGGTACAGGCCGGACAGAAGCTTGAGTGTTAGAATTGGCAAGTACTTAGACATGACTCACTCGTGGGGAAACTGAGGCCCAGAGATGGAGAGGGACTGGCCAGAGGCCACACGACCTGGGGTCCCAGGAGTCAGTGGTCCCTCCTGGCCCTGACTTCCCCTCCCTTCACTCTCTCTTCCCCCTCTCTTCGTTCCCTGTAGTCTTCCTCCTGTGGTGCCATCAGAAGGAATGGGCCAGGCAGGAGAAGGGGGTCCAGGGAGAGGCCTCCGGGGCCGTGCTGAGGGCTCAGAGGATGGAGAGGCCCCCCCCCAGGCCTGGTGCTCTCCTGCTGCAGATGCAGCCTGGGTGTCCCCACTGGACACCCAGTGCCAGAGGGCCTGGCTCTGCAAGTAGGGGGAAGTGGGAATGGGGACCGCCTCCCCTGAGGCAGAGGGTGACATGCAGCTGGGAGATGCACTTTAAGTCAATTCTTGACTCCTAGTGTTGAAATGATGAAAATAAGAAATGAATACATGTGCCATTTGCTGAGATGCTAAGACCTGGCAGACACCACCCAGGGGCTGGGATTTAGTTATAAGCAAAGCTTAATGCCCGCTGTCACTGGCCCTCATGGAACCCATGGCCCAGTGTGGGGACAGGCAGGAAATTAACAATCACAAAGGGGGTGTGTGTGTGAATACCACCAAAGTTAAGTGCTGTGAAGGGAAGAAACACAGATCTACATGAAGTTGTTTTTTTCCTTGTTAACTATTTTATTATGGGACTCTTAATCTTACATAAAAGTAGGGAAAATAGGATAATCAACCTCAGTGCACCCATCATCCAGTTTCACGAAAATCACCTCCTGAGAAAATTTGTTTAATCTGTACCCTGGCTACTTCCCCCACTACATAATTTTGAGGCAAATCCCATGCATCCTACCATTTCATCTGTAAATATTTCTGTAGCATCTCTAAAACATAAAGTGTCTTTTAAACAACAGAACCACCATGCCAGGATCACACCTAAAAAATGAATAATTCCTTAATACCGACAAATACCTGGTCAGCATTCAAATTTCCAATTGTTTTATAAGCAAATATGTTGTTATAGTTTTTTGGGTTTTTTTGGTTTTGGTATTTATTTATTTATTTTGTCTGCGCTGGGTCTTAGTTGCGGCACGCAGGATCTTTGTTGTGGCATGCAGACTCTTAGTTGCGGCATGCACACGGGATCTAGTTCCCCAACCAGGGATCGAACCCAGGCCCCCTGCATTGGGAGCACGGAGTATTACCCACTGGACCACCAGGGAAGTCCCTGTTGTTATAGTTTGTTTGTATTGGGATCTAAATAAGGCCCACATGCTGTCATTGGTTGAGGGGTCCTTAAGCTCTTTTTAATCTAGGGACTCCCCTCTGTTGTTTTTGTTTGTTTCTTTGTTTCCTTGCAAGTTATCTGTTGAAGAAACCAGGCTGCTTGTCAGGTAGAGTTTCCTACTGTCTGCATTTTGCTGATTGCATTCCCCCGATAGAGTTTTCTTTTTCATAAATTTATTTATTTATTTATTGTCTGCGTTGGGTCTTCGTTGCTGCGCGCGGGCTTTCCCTAGCTGCAGCGAGTGAGGGCTACTCCTTGTTGCGGTGCATGGGCTTCTCATTGCAGTGGCTTCTCTTTGTTGCGGAGCGCAGGCTCTAGGCGCGCGGGCTTCAGTAGTTGTGGCACAAGGACTCAGTAGTTGCAGCTCGCAGGCTTAGTTGCTCCGCGGCATGTGGGATCTTCCCGGACCAGGGATTGAACCCGTGTTCCCTGCATTGGTAGGCGGATTCTTAACTACTGCACCACCAGGGAAGTCCCTGATAGAGTTTTCTATGAGAACTTTTGACAAAGGGAGCTGACCTCGACCAGGGTTCAGCAGAGATAGGAAGGGTGCATGGCTGACTGGTGGAGGGACAGCAGACAGGAGTGCCAGGCAGAGGGAACGGAACAGCATGTGCAAAGACCTCTGACAGGGAGAGGAACATGGAAAATGCAAAGAACGGCAGTCCAGTCGGAGCCCTGTTAGTATGGGGTTGGGGGCTGGGGTGCTTTGAGATGAAGTTGGAAAGGTGTGTAATGGTGGGTGGGGGACAGACCATGCAGACAGTGCCTTGTTGTCAGTGGGGAGGAGTCGAAATTTGATCATCAGAGCAAGGGGACTGCTGCTGGCGTGTTTTAGCAAGAGAGTAAGATAATTTGATTTGAGATTTGAAAAATATCACTCTGGTTACTGTGTAGGCACTGACTGGAAGGGCAGGGGCAACAGTGGATGCAGGAGGGCAGGTAGGAGGCTGCTGAGGCCATCCGGGCACCCAGAAGTGACGGTGTGGCCTGAGCAGATGGCATGCTGCACCATCCCACAGCAGCCCCATTTTACAGACAAGAAAGCTGAGGCTCAGAGAGGTGAGTGGCTTGCCCAAGGCCTCAGTGGTGTGTCTGGCACATGGCAGGAGGCTGTAGCTGCAGTCATTACAATGAGCACCGGCACTTTCTCTTGGCTCTCCAGGTGCTTTGGGGCCTGGCAGCGGTTCGCGCAAAGAGGGACCCGGTACCGGGACCACATGGCCAACCGCGGGCAGGGACCCTGAGGGTGTGCCTGCAGCAGTGGGTGCAGACGAAGCAGCTCCAGGCCTCAGATGGGGCGAAGGTGACCCAGCTGTCCCTTTGTTGGCGGGAGGCAGGTGAGCGAGTGGCGGGCCAAGGGGCTCCCTCTCTCTCCCACCCCAGCAAATAGCATCACTTAAGCTCCTTCTGCAGTCGCCCAGTTGATTTATGGATGCTCGTGGTGGGAGGTGATGGGATCGGGAGTTTTCTCGGGGATGCAGCCTGGCAGGCCTGGGAGGGTCCGGAGGGGTCCCTGGAGCAGCAGGCTTTGGTGGGCCCCATCCTGACCTCCATCATGAGCTCCTCTAGGCGAGAGACCTGTTCAATCTTCCACCTGGAAGAGATGTAGCCCCTGCTGCTGGGAAGCTTCTGGTCTTAGGGGGATGTACAACTCCTGCCCCCGACCGACCAAAACGTGACAGAGGAAGATGGGATCTTCCAGGTGCCCCGGTGGGGAGGGTTTGGGGGTGGTGGGAGGGGGCAGTAGCCACAAGGGGAGAGGTCCTAAGGGGCCTGAGGCAGCGTCCACCAATGGCTTTGAGCAGAGGGTGGTCACTGATTCATCTCTTGTCTGCTTCTCAGGGAACATGGCCCTCCTCAGCTCAGCCCCTGGGGGGGGGGCCACAGCCCATGGCCTGGGGGTGGTGGCCCAGGCCCAGGCGCTGCCCCGGGAGCAAGGCCGGGGATCTCTGCAGGAAGCCGGCCGGAAGCTGGCCCTCCACCGGGCGCTGCTGCTCTGGAGGACGCAGCTCTCCCAGCGCCAGCGGGCGGAGCAGGTGTCTGTGAGTTTGTGACCTGGGGTTGGGCCTGGAGGACATGGGGTGGGAAGGTGAGCAGTCCTCAGCACTGGATGGAGTGTCCCATAGGGAATGGGCCACATCCTACTCCTCTCTGTGGCCCCAGCATGGGGCCTGGCACCCTGTGGTGCCCAGCAGGCATGGGGCCGGGGGTGGTAGCCTAGGGACGCTGAGTCAGTGATTGACCAGAGAGCTGTGGGGGACAGGGAGTGGTCAGGGGCACAGACACGGAGTCCTGCCAAGGTGGCTGGAACCTGATGGGGAGGTTGGTTTAATGCTCGTCTCCCTCCCCAGAATCTGGACCCACCTCTCACCCATCTCCTGGCTAAGTGGAAGCCCCCTGGTGGCGGGAACCGTGTCTGTCTCCTTGCCACTGTCTCCCAGCGTCTTGCAGATGCCCAGGCTGCGGAAGGCACAGAACAAATACCGTAAATGAATCAGTGAAGGAGCCACTTTTTCCCCTGCCCCCATTTGCCTTATTACACAGCTGGAGAAACTGAGGCTCAGAGGGGTCAAGCAGCTTGCTCTAAATCATACTGAATCAGGAGCGAGAAGGTCCCTATAGTGAGACCTTCTTGTGATGCTTTTATACAAGATGGGATGCTGGGACTCAGAGCCCAGGCTGATGGTTATGGGTGAGAGAGCCAGTAGAGGTCAGGAGGGGCCAGCTTCACTGACGGAATGTCAGCAGGAATGTAAGCCAGCAGCTGCAGGGTTAAGAATTCTGTCCTTAAAAGCTATGCACCTAGCAGAGGAGCTCCCACACTGCGATCTATTGAAAGTCAGCCCTCGACACAAGGGGTTGTAAAGAAACAAACAAACAAACAACCCAAAATAACAAACAAAAAAGAACAAAACAAGAAAAAAATAAAAACAAACCAAAAAAAGCTATACACCTGGCATCCATCAGCCCCACACCCACTTGGTCCACTTGGACCCTCAGTCTCTTTTAATGCGTCCCTGGAACTCTAAGGAAACTCAGTTCACCATGATCCTTCAGAATGTAGCCCTCCCTCCCCCAGTCTATCCTCTGGCCTTTGGGTACCGGGTCACAGTCCATATCTCCCTGCAACATATCTGAGGCTGCCCTGTAGCCTGAGATGAGTGCTTGGATCCCAGGTCTGCTGCTGTTTGGAGTTTGGGGAAATGACCTTCCCCCAGGCCTCAGTTTCCCTACATTTATAACCGAGTGGAGGCAGAAATACTGGTGTGGGCTCTTGAGTCCTGGGTCCCTGGGCCTGGGCTCGGCTCTACTCCCCATCAACTGTGTGGCCCCCACGCACCCAGGTAGTGTGGCGAGGATCAACCAGGTGATCAGGGCAAGTAGAGCTGTGGTCTCGGCCTCAGCTGCTCACGGGGGGTCACCCTGGGGGCTTTGGAAAAGTTGGGAAGCCCAAGCCGCACCCAGACCATTACATCAGAATCTCCGGGGCTGGAACCCCAGTGAGCATCGGTATTTCTTAGAGCCCCCAGTGGTCCTAGTGGGCGGCCCGTGTGGGAGGTGGGGTTGCCCAGCTCTGGCCCAGCGTTTGGCTCACGGTGGCACCCTTCCAGCACCCCCAGCCAGGGGTGACGGGGGGCCCCAGCACTCACTTGCCCCCTCCAGTAGCTCCTTCTTCGAGGGCGTGCAGCAGCGGGCGCTGCGTCACAGCCTGAGGGGTTGGCGCCTGAGGGCATGGGATCCAGGCAGCGCCAGGACCACCTTGGCCCCAGCGGTTCTGGGCGGCGTCCTGGGAGGGGAGGCCCTGCCAGGCCGCAGGACACCCCACAGCTCCCTGGAGCAGGTGAGGGGGAGAGGGTGGGGAGGACTGGGAAGGGGAGGGGAGGGGAAGGGGAGGGGAGGGGAGGGGGGACGGGGGTGGCAGCGCCCGGGGCACCCAGGACTCCACACCTCCTTCCCCAGGCTTCCCGGGCCCCCGCCCTCCTGGAGGCGTTCCGGGTGAGCTTATGTGGGCAGCTGGGCGGCGGCAGCAGGGGCAGCACCTTCTGCTCTGGCAGGCGCAGGCCCAGCAGTCCCAGGGCGCGGCAAGGCAGCACCAGCACACCCTTCAGAGGCGGTAGGGACCCCTCCCCAGGACGGGTGAGCCATGCTGCCCACCACCCTTGGATTTACTGTTTCCCATCAATCCTGGCCACCAGGGATTAAGCTGGGCTTATTTAAACTCACTTCCCAGAGCCCTCAGGCTTTAGCTTAGAATGTAATTTTAACTCCAGCAGCCCCAGGAGAAAGGGGTCCACAAGGAACAGTAATAATAGCTCCCAGTTAGGGGATGCTTCCCACGTGCTAAGCACTTTATGTGCTTTGTCACGTTTCATCCCCAGAACACAATGTGACATATCCCCATTTTACAGAAGGGAAAGCTGAGGCCCAGAGTGGTCAAGTGACCAGCCTACCCAGGTCTATCTGACTTAGAGCCTGAGATCACATCCACTCTGATCCCCGGCCACTCAGAACAAAGAGCCCCTGAGACGAAGGCCTCTGTCCCCAGCTCCGGGGAACCCCTAGGGGCCACTGGCCTCAGAGTCAGCTTGATTCAGCCCCGATGGTGAGGGTGGTTGCATGCTTTTCCAGGACCCCAGCGGCCTTGTGGACACCACCCCTATGGCTTCTCAACAGCCTCCTGGCCGGGCAGCCAGCCAATTACAGGTCCATCAGCACTTACTGAGCACCCACTGAGTGCCAGCCCAGTGCTGGTCTGCTACAAAGAAGCACCCTGGGTCGCATCTGTTAGGGAGACAGACACCTAAACTCATTATAAGTCATGGTACAGTCTAGGATCAAAAGAGGTAATTGGGGTCAGTAGCAATTTTTTGTCATTCTTTTTTTTTTATTAGAAAATGAAACATGCTCATTATAGAAAACCCAGAAAATATAAATGAAATATAAATGAAAAAATATTCTTTCATCACTCTCTCTACCCAAAGGTAAGTGCCAGACCAGAAGCATTAGTTCTGATACCTGCAAAGGGTGACAAAGAGCTGGGTGGCCTAGCACGAGGGAAGAGGCCACAAGGAAACCCGGGCACAAAGAGTGACGCTGCATGGCAGTCTAGGGACGTGTCATTGCGGGACACATAGCCCCAGAGTTACTGGCAGGCCGCAGAGTGTTCCTCAAGATGAACTGGTATCATCAAAAATCCTGTTTCAGGATGCCACAAAATATGTCATAGACTCTAGAAAAGTTTCTAAGAAAAAAAGATTGAAGTGGTTTGTTTTCAATGGAATTGAAATGGACTGGCTTTGGTTATTTGCAGAATCCACATATTTACCTATGTGGGGCTATGGCGACAGCAGATTCTGGGGTCTCAGGGTATTTTATTTCTAGGTCTGTGTTTCAGGAGAATTTTATTTTCAGAGTATGTTTATAAACACTTCCATTTCATTTCTGTCAGCAAAGGCAGGCAGGGATCCCGTTTACTGATGGAGAAACTGAGACTTGTAGAAACAAAGTAAATGTCAGGAATGGTAAATGGTAACTAGGGGGCTGAATTCCAGGCCCCCCTCTTTCTACCGCACGCACACGCTCGCCCAGGCAGCCCTCACCTAACGACAGGGGCGGGTTTTATGCCACCTCATGGTGGCACAGACTCCCTTAGAGAGCCCCTGGTGTCCATATAGTGCAGTCGCTGGGGGCTCGGGCCCTGGAGTCAGACCACTCCGTAGAGGTGAGGCCTCAGACAAGTAATTTGACTTTATGAGGCTGAGTGGGGAGAGTAATGCCCACCTCACAGGGTGTACCTGGCACAGGTAAGCTCTGATTGGTAGCCATTTTTGGTCCACTCACCTTCCTGAGTCTCGAGCCATGTGGGAGTATGGGGAAAGAGGCAGTGGCGTGTACTGATGGCCATACTACTCTCGGGCCTTTCCTGTCTCCTCTGGGAGCCTCAGGGCTCGCGGGAGAATCCGTCCCACTTGTGTGCACACAAATAGGAGGCCCTGTTACTGGTCGGGAAAGGAGTCCTGCCAGGTCACTTGGGCCCCTAGATGTCCAAGCCCATTGGTTCAGGGTTTCCTCTTTGTTCCCTCAGGCCCGCAGCTGCAGGCCACAGGCCACAGGGCCTGGCCTGCCCAGCCCAACCAAGCACCACAGCCCCAGTGGACAGAGGAAGCAGAGAGAAACGTCCCGGACTCCCTCGGGGAATAAACAATGTCTGAAGTGCAGGGATGAGACCGTCACCAGCCCTCACGGGCCTGGAAATCAGCTTTGAACTCTTGGCGAATCTGTCTTATGTATTTACTGTTTTTCCCCACCCATCTCCTCTTCTGGAATATTTCACAATTTTGAGAAAACAATTACAATTTCTCCTGGCCCACCCTTTGGGGTCACAGCCCAAGCCTTTGCAGGAGACTTGGGCAGAGGTGGTGGCAGCAGGGACACAGGCTCAACACCATTTCTCGTTAACTCTCTTCCTAGGGCTCAGCTTCCAGAAGTACCAGGGGGAGAGCTTACTCCCCTGAATGATGTGTTAACCTCTTCTGACGCCCCTTTGCCAGGTGACAGAGAGCCTCCCCTCGGCCCTGCCTCCCAGCTCCAGCTGCTGGGGCGAGGGCCAGCGCCCTACGGGGCCAGAGGGGACCCAGCTCTGAGACCAAAGACCTCGAGGGCAAAGGCGAGGCCGAGCAAAGGTGTCTGGGGTGGGAGCAGAGTGTGTGCGTGGAGAGGGAGGGCTGAGAGCAGGGGTGGAGAGGGAGGGCTGAGGGTGTGGGCTGGGCTGAGTGGCTTGCCTGACCTGGGCCCTCTCTGGCCGGTGCTCATCCCGCAGGATTCTGCGGACCAGGCCTAGGCCCGTGGCTCTGCCCTCTTTCCTGGCCATGAAGGGGTCGTGATGCCCTTTGCTGTCAGGACACACACCAGGGCCTCTCCCCTCAGGAGGAGGTACCTGCAGCGCTGGCGCCTTGAGGCACTGCTTCGCCGGCTCCGGGGTTCCCTGCAGGCCAGGCCCAGGCAGCTGCATGGCAGCGCTGGGTAGATGCTCAGGGGACGGAGTAGCTGGCGCCGACACTGGCGAGTGGGGTGGCCCCTCCCCACCCTCATGCTGACCTCCCATCACATCCCATTCCCAGCCCTAACCCCTGGAAACGCAGTCTCTGAAAGTAAGTTCAGGCCTTTGGACCTACCAAGCCTGAAACCTTGGGAACAGGTGCAGGAATCTGCATTGTTAACACACCTCAGATGACACCTCCTCGTCACATCCCCTTCCTCCTGGTGCCGCAGAGTTGCAGGCAGGGAGAGACAGCAGAGGGGCTGGGGGCTGCCGGGCCGGGGACAGTGGTGGGCCCAGCTCAAGGCCTCCTCGTGACTGTCCCCATAGCTCAGGCAGTGGCACCTGAGGCGGGCCTGGCGACGGTGGGCCCTGCGGCTGCAGGTGTCTCAACGATTACAGCAACAGCAAGACGGCTCGGTCCATTCCCAGGTACTGGGGGAGGGGGGGTGCCCCGCCCCCCAGCAGGCCCTTCCTAGCCGTGCCACGCCTGCATTCCTGAGCTGTGGCCCTCCCTGCTTGCTGGCCCCAGAACCCCTTCTTTTTCGGGGGAGGGGTCAGTTCAGTTAGAGAGAGCAGCCTGGATTCCAGAGCCCTTAATCCAGCTGGCGACCGCGTGCTGAGCACAGTCGTGGCCGTCACTGGTCCGGGCACGGGCTTGGCCTGTGGCACAGCTGCCGCTCACACCACCTGTGTTGGGTGTGGGTTGCTGAGCGCCACCCACTGATGTGCACTCAGAACCCAGCTTCCCTGATCGCAGGCCTGTGCGTCTGGCCCAGGGCAGAGGGAAGGGCCTCCTCTTCCCTCGAGGGCAGAAGGAGCTGGGCCCCGGAGTTCCTCCAGCACTGACAGCACACACCCAGGAGGGAGCCAAAGAGCTTCCTGCTCCCCGATTCCAGGCCTTTGAAACATGGCACCAGCGTCTGGCAGCCAGGGGCCTGAGGGGCAGAGCCAGCAGCAGTGGGAGGCCTCGGAGCAGGCAGGAAGCCACCAGAGCCCCTGTGCTTGGTGGACTTGGGGTGAAGCAGGGGGCCCAGCAGCAGCTGTGACCCGCTCCCCTGGAAAGGAAGGCAGATCGGAGCCCCACCCACCTGAGGAGTACAGGCTCAGGCACAAGGCACTCAGGCCAAGAGCTCTGAAGGACAATAAAACGCCCTCCTTAGCCTCGGCTGCTTCTCTCTGTCTCTCCTAAAGGCTGCCCCCTGCCCCAGCCAACCAGCCCCTCTGACCTGCTTCCTCTGCCGTCAGGCCGCCCTGTGGACAACCGGCCCCCTCTCCACCCCCCACCGCCCCCCCGGAGCCGGTGAAGCCCCGCAAGCAGGGGCTGGGACAGGGAGTCAGTCACAGCCCCTGGGCGGTGGGGCCTGAGGGCTGATGCCTGGGGAGCAGTGCCAGACAGACAGCTTCCGGGACAGGGTGCATGGAGGGGAGGGAGCGGCGGGCAGAAGGAGGTCCTGCCCAAAAAATAAGCCAGGAAGAAGTCAGTCCTGCTCGGGCCAACCTCACTTTCGCCCTCGATGGTAACAGGCAGGGCATCCCTTCACCCCTCAGAGCCAGGGGAGAAAAGGGAAGGCCAAGGGCTCCACCACGCACAAACGTTCAGACACCTTTAACCCTTAAGAGGCACTTTCTCTCTCGAGCGTGTGAGGAGACAACTGAGGGTAAGCTGTGACAAAGCGAGAGAGAGGCATGGACATATATACACTACCAAACGTAAGGTAGATAGCTAGTGGGAAGCAGCCGCATAGCACAGGGAGATCAGCTCGGTGCTTTGTGACCACCTAGAGGGGTGGGAAGGGGAGGGTGGGAGGGAGGGAGACGCAAGAGGGAAGAGATATGGGAACATATGTATATGTATAACTGATTCACTTTGTTATAAAGCAGAAACTAACACACCATTGTAAAGCAATTGTACTCCAATAAAGATGTAAAAAAAAAACAAAAAAAAAACCCAGCGCTGTAGAAAAGGGAGAAACTCAGCTGAGCTCTCGGCTAGGAGGCGACAACTATTAGGTTTCAGTCCAAGGCCCATCCAGGGACCAGGCCCTGGCAGGGCAGTGGGCCGCCCCTTCATTCCCGAGTGGGTCGTGCCTGGATGCCAACGCCTTGGAGGTGGAAGGCTGCAGCGCCTTGACCTCGCCATGTCTCCTCTGCAGTCCCACAGAGCCCACTGCCATGTTCGCTTTGCTTGTCCTCCATAGGCCCCAAGAGCAAGGTCACTGGCAGTCCCAGGCTGGCTCCTAGGAGCTCCGTCAATGACAACCCTTCTCAGGGAGGATGCGTTCTGCCCACCTGCTCCTCTGGGGGATGGGGCTGCTTCCCACGGGAGCACAGACTCTCAGCTAAGCAGGGAACACCTGGCTCCCGTGTGGGGCGGACTCCGGTCCAGCCAGAGCCTGGAATCCTCACACCAGTCTAGCTGCCATCATCGTGTCAGGGGGTGGGGGGAAGCGAAGGAGAACGGGGGTCTCCCAGAGAACCAGGACGGAGAGGAGGAAGGCGGGACACAGTGGCCTCAAGCTAAGGCTGTCAGGGCTCAGGGTCACGGTGCCTCCGTCTCCCTCTTGCTCTGGTGGGGCCCGCTGAGAAGCTCAAACGTGTCTTCCACCACCTGCCACAGACAGCTGTCCAGCGGGAACTCGTTGTCCACCAGGTTGACCAGGAAGTAGTTGTCGTGGATGTGCTGGATGATCATGCGGGATGGGGACTCCTCCTCATACAGCTTGCCCCACTGCTCGATCCACAGAGCGAAGGCCTCGTCCTGCACGCACGCACAGGCGCGCACGCGCACACACACACGGAGACACCGGCATACACACAGACAGAAAGACACAGGTACATGCGCGGTCCCACATACAGACACGCCGGCCAGGTTAACAGGGCTGCCCTAGGGCCAGGGCTCCACACTCAGCACCCCAAGGGCCTCTGCTGCTGCCCCACAAGACGTTTCCAAGAATAGAACTCGGCCCACTGCCGGTGCCACCCCTGCTCCCCAGCCCAGAAGTAAACACCATGAGTCAGAGTCAGGGCGCTGCCAGCCCTGGGGGTGTGGCCCCCAGCTGCCCCGCCCACCCGCCCAAGGCTCTGGAGGTGGGCAGGGCAGGCCTGCTCCCGGCTCCCCCTTACCTTCCAGAACATGAAGCTGACTGGGTCCACCACTGTGGGCTGGATGATCTCTCGCCCAGGGAAGATGCCCCAAGTGACGGCGTTGGGCTGCAGCTCGGGGGCGTTGGTGATGTTGTCACCCTGCGGGGCGGGGGGGTGGCGCAGTGAGTAGGGCCAGACTTGGGGTGCAGACAGCTCCAGCCCTCTCTCCCCGGGGGTGTGCTCCGCCCCTCCTCCCGCCGTCACCGCCCCACCCCTGCCCCGCCTCTGCAGCTCTGTGACAGCCACGAGCCTGAAACCCAGACGTCACCCTGGGCTTTTCCTTCCTCCTCTTACGCTCCAATCAGCTCCACACCCACTGGTACTGCTCACTCCCTCTCGTGTCCAGCCTCGTGTCCAGCCTGGCCAGGCCTCTCTTTGCTACTCAGACCACCAGGGCTGCTGACTCTAGTCTCCCCTGGCCCTGTTAGCCACACAGCTGTCCCCTGGGACCTGCCCAAAATAAAACATGGAGCCAAGGCTCCCTCTTGCTTATACGGTAAAACCCAAGTTCCAAGCAGGACAACTGAGACCCCTGAGGACCCGGCCCCGGCTCAACGCTTCAGCCTCACTCTGACCCCATTTGGCAGCGATGCCTCTGCATGCCCTCTGCCCTGTCCCTGGGATGCCCTTTTACTCCCCATCCTTAAAGATTCAGGCCACACAGGAACTCTCCAAACACCTCCCCCGATCTCTCGAGCTGGACATCCCTCCCTTGGATCCCCAGCTTCTTCCTACGCTGAACTTTACTGTTATAAAGTGCAACTGCTTTTCACCCATTCATAATTATTCACTGATGGCTTCCCTCGCTAGGCTGGGAGCTCTCGGAGGGCAGGGGCCTGGCTCTGTCTGCATATCCATCTGGCACGACGCGTGGGCCCACTGGGCACTCCGTGACTGCTGAATGGTGGAGTAAACGTGGTGCCCTCACCCCGGCCCTGCTGAGCGCCCTTTGACCCGGGGCCGGCCCACCTTCACATCCACGATGTGGTAATTCACCCGGAGCTCGTACTTCTTCAGCACCTGCAAAAGCGCCTCCACTGTCTCTCGGGAAGTGAAGAACTCTAAGTAGGCCTGCGGGAGGGAGACAGGTGCCATCACGTAACCCCCAGTCCTTCCTGGATGTCTTCGCTGGGCGCTGCTGAGTGGGCCATGTGCTCTGAAACACCAGACACCTGCCCTCCTGACCATCCCAGGGAGGCATCCACGAGGACACTTAAGGCGTCGGGACTAGCAGTGGCCACTAGTTGGGAGTTGAACCCATAAGCAAAGGGAGGGGAGCAGGTACGTAAGGTTTCTCGGTCTGGACAGGTCTGAGGGACGTCTGCCAGCCCTTTGTCCAGTTGGGAAAGGTTCCATGGAGAAGTCGTTCCAGAAGCTATACAGGGGGCCCAGTTTGGCAACTAAGGCAAGAGAGGCCTGACACACCCCATCCCCCTGTCTGCTGGGTGGAGGGCTTCTCCAGCACCACCTGGCCACCAGGGATTAAGCTGGGCTTATTTAAATTCACTTCCCAGAGCCCTCAGGCTTTAGCTTAGAATGTAATTTTAACTCCAGCAGCCCCAGGAGAAAGGGGTCCACAAGGAACAGTAATAATAGCTCCCAGTTAGGGGATGCTTCCCACGTGCTAAGCACTTTATGTGCTTTGTCACGTTTCATCCCCAGAACACAATGTGACATATCCCCATTTTACAGAAGGGAAAGCTGAGGCCCAGAGTGGTCAAGTGACCAGCCTACCCAGGTCTGTCTGACTCCGAGCCTGAGATCGTATCCATTCTGATCCCCGGCCGCTCAGAACAAAAAGCCCCTGAGATGAAGGCCTCTGTCCCCAGCTCTGGGGAACCCCTGCAGGCAGGTCAAGGGAGGGTAGCCCTGTGCGTCCCTGCCACACCTTCTGGAAGACATAGCCCCCACCGGGGCCCCAGCCCACGACGGGGTCGGAGGACGGCTTCCCGTTAATGTTGGGCTGGGAGTTGATGGTGAGGATGCCCCGCCGGTTCACTCGCAGCAGCTCCTCCTTCATCAGGCTGGTCTCAGCCGCTAGGGGCTCATCATTCCAGGGCAGGCAAGTAACCTGGGGAGGGTAAGCCGGGCTGGGTCCCTCCCTGTCACGGTGCCCATCAGAGGCCCAGCCTGTCTCTGCTTCCGTAAGCCCCTTCCAGGCACCCCACGTGGGGACCCCCCAACTCACCTTCTCCCTTTGCTGAGGTGCCACCTCCAGGCACAGCGATGAGGCTCAGGGTGGGGCAGTCACGCCCGCGTCTGGCCCATGGGGCGAGGGGAGGTACCCAGGGATCCCATCCCAGCAGCACTCACTTTATAGCCGTTCTGGTTCGGCTCTCCCGAGAGGTAGTGGGCAAAGACTTCAAAGACACTTTCTTCACTGGTCAGCTCCTCCCCCCACATCTTCAGCAGCTCTTCCTTTGGGGACTTGCTCTTCAGGTAGAAGAGGTAGTAGTCCTTCAGCTCCCCAAAGGCCGGAGAGGAGGAATTGCCCCTAGTGGAGGAGGTGCCCGGAAGTCAAGGCACACCCCTGACCTTGGGCTCCAGACAGTAGCATCCACCTGCCCCGGGGGTGGGGGGCGGGGGGGGGCATTCCTGTGAATACTGTCCCGAGGGCTCCACCATGATTGGTCTCCCTCCTCCCAAGAAACAGTTCATTTGCAATGGCTCACCAGCGGCCGTTGGGGAACTCATCCCACTCCTGGGTGCGATAAATGTAACTCTTTGGTCTGGAGGCCCAGAAGATGGGACGGACATCTTCCTCCCGGCGCTTGGGGTGGGCACTGATGGCCCAGGGCAGGGGACGTCTGGGTGAGAATGGAGACAGAAAGGGTCAAGGCTTGGTCAGAGGGAGGGGGCACCACTGAACCTGGGTTCTTCCATCTTGACTCGTAAATGTCAAGCCGGATGGCATTCCCGCTGAGACTGGAGCCCTAAGGGTGCCACTAGCCACGGCACAGACATCCCCTCTGTGCCCCCTTGGCAGCCAGCACTGCCAGCTAGGGCGCACTCATTCTGTGACTTCTCTCTGACCTCCCTGCCCACCCGACTCTCCTCTGTGGCTCCAGGGCCTGAATTCGGGGCCACTGGCCTCACCTGGGGTCCTCGATCCACATGCCCAAGCGCTTCAGCACCTCTGTTGTGGCCATCTCGCGGTTGAGGGTGTAGAAGTGCAGGCCCGGCACCGAGCCGCTTGCCAGAAGCTCCCGGCACAGGCTCAGCGCCTGCTCGATGCCGTAGTTACGGATGGCGGCGTCGTTGTCTTTGATTGGCTCGATCACGTCCTTGACCTGCTGCGGCACCTCCAGCTTGGACAGCTTTACAAGCTGCCGGAGGGAGCGGTAGCCCTGCCCAAGACACAGGGGGCCGTGGGTCCCATCTCCCTGCCCGTCTCTCACCCCAAATACTTATCCCCCCACCAGGCCTCCTGGCTCTGCAGTGCGACACAGACTGACCCGGGAAAGTCAGACCATCGTGTACGAGCACTTTCTGCAGCCGCCGCCCACAGCATTACTGCCATTGGCCTCAGCCGGCCCTCTGGCCCCTAGATGTGCCTATTGATAGATGGTGGTCGCCTAAGCCAGTGGTCCCCAGGCCTGACCAACGGCCAGAATCGCCTGCCAAGCTTCAGAAACGCACAAGTCCCCAGGTCCCACCTCAGATCTATTACGTCAGAACTTCTAGGCATGGGATCTGGAAATACACGTTTTAAAAGAGCTTATTAAATGATTCTGGTGAGCCAAGTTTGGGAAACACTGATTTAACCCAAATTTATAATGAGAGTAATAATCCCTTTTAGTGACACTTATCAATAAGCCCCTCCAACAGTTACCGTTGCTATTTTGGGGAGACATAAGAGGTAATCAAAAGAGGGGGGCAAGACAACATTTTGCAAGGACTGAGCACCCGTCTGACGAAAATCTAATGAGCGTCAAAGAAGAACTTTGGCCTGAACTCGGCACTTCAGGTTCACTTTGGCCTGAACCAAGGCCCTGGCCTGTGCTAGGACGGGGGCGGTGGGAGTCCATGAGCCCTCTCGGGACCCTCACCTGAATAGGGAAGATTCCGGGGAGGATGGGGCAAGTAATGCCTATCTCGGAGCAAGCCCTAACAAAGCGGAAGAAAGTGTCGGCCTCAAAGAAGAGCTGGGTGATGACGAAGTCGGCTCCCGCGGCCACCTTCTCCTTCAGGTGCTTCAGGCCAGCCTCAAAGCTCTCTGCGTCGGGGTGGCCTTTGGGGTAACCTGCCAACAGGGATGACAGTAGAGAGAGACTGGCTCCACCTGCTCGAGGGGAGTGATGAAGCAACCAGAGAGCTGGGGACGGAGAGCTCCGGATCCATACCTTCCAACCCCACGGCACGGACAGGCTGAAGCGGTGATGGCTGGGCTCGTCTGATGCGCCCCTCACCCTGGAGGTGACCCTCGGTGAACGCTGCCTTAAAGCCACCCTCCCAAGAGTGGGGATGGATTGCCCCCAAACACCCACACTGTCCTGCCATCAGCCAGGCCAATCTGGCCTGCACTTTGTGGCCACGGAAGAGAGGAAATGCTACATTCACAGCAGCCAGCCAGCCTTGGAGTAATGGGCTTGACTCTAGGTACTGGATTACAACAGTGCTTGTAATTTCACATTAAAATTACTCAGGGGTCCCAGACAGTGCAAAGTCAGAAACCACGTTACACAAGGAATAAATGAAGAGAGTAGAGATGTTCTGCTTGAAGAAAAGAACGCAGAGAATATGGTAACTATTTCTAGACGCCCGCAAGTCTGTCACTGGGAAAAAGGAGTCACCTTAGTCGAGTTCCTTATTCCATCTTCTGGGCTGCTTCTGATGGCAGAAGTAGGATTAGTTTCAGAGCGCTGCCTGACAGTGGAACGGGCAGCCCCACAAAGGAATGGACTCCCAGTGTGTGAAAACAACGCGGCAGGGCGACGACCCTGTGCCGGGATGCCTGGGAGGCGGGGCCAGACGTCCTCTAGGTTCCTGACTAGCTCCAGGAACGGTGTGCTCCCTTCCCTAAACGACTGAACTTACTAGTGGCTCTGCCTACACAGGAAAGACCACAGGCCTTAATGAACTGCAAGCAGAGGGCCAGCTTCCTCAGCCTGAGGCCAGGGCAGGACCCCAAGCTGGGGCAAGCCTGAACCCACACTGTTGGGTAGCCGGGCTGCTTTGCTGTGATAATACAGTTTCGTTCTTAAGAAACCCTGAGTCATCAAAACTGGATATAAAAACGACTGTCTTGGGGATGGGCGTGGGAGGATTAAACACTAGAGCTTTATACTTTTATACTATACTATACTATGCTTTTATACTTTATACTATTTTTCCAGCAGAAATTTCAGGAACAGAGGTTTTAATAGCTGAAACTCTATGAAATCTCAACAGCACCCAACAAATCCAGCAATTGCTTACGTCTGGATTTTGCTCAGTTTTACTATATTCTTGTTCTGTCACGGCTAGCTGGGTGCCTTCTAATCCACCGGCCCTCTTTTTCATCACTTTACCATAAGCAAAGCACCAAACCGTTCAGCAACTGTGCGCTCACAGCTCTGCTGGTTCCCCCTGGTGATCGTCCAATGCCCACCACACGTGGGCACATTCCCCAATCAACCGACTGTCTCGTGGCCGCACGACCAACGACACTTCAATTCCTACCTCCTCATTGGGGCCTCCTAGACTCATCCACCTCAACGCCCTCTTCTCAACACTAAGAACAGCGGACGTGTACATGGGGGCCTGGGGATGCAGCCCAAAGTCCCCACAACAAGTAATTTCCTTGAGGCCACGTGGCTTGTATTTTTAAATTCAGATCACTTTGATTAGCTACTCCATAATGTAGCCATGTTAATAAGAATGATATGATTTTCCCCAAAATATTTGAGAAAAATTGTCATGCCAAGGTGATGTGTCAGATTAATCCCCGGACTTCCCGTGTCCCTGGCACACACTGCCTCACCACACCCAAGCCCCCGTTTGAGAAGCTGAAGGCCCAGACCCCATGAGTCGGGGCAAGAGGGAAGGCCACGCCATCTGTTTCCAGCAGCTGAGCCTTGCCTCCTGGCTGTAGCTAAAGAAACTAGAGTTGAGCTGACGCAGTTCTCTCTCCTGACCATTTGGAACTGACGCTGAGACCTGTCAATCAGTCTGGGCGAGCCAGGAGCAGGCGGCAGGTCACATGTGTACCGTACATATCAGAGACAGAAAAAGCGTACATATCAGGTCTACTGGATGAGGCATGAAGCAGTGCGGGGGGGGGGGGGCAGAGAGAATGAGGGAGGGCCTTGGATTCTGCCTGCCTCCTGGTTCCAGCGCTTAATGAGGTCTGATGCCGTTTCCTGACCTTGTTCTGAGATTCCCTGCCCCCGGAACCTTAATAAATATACCTCTTTTGTTTAAAGAAGAATAGGGCTGGGAAGCAGGCTAAGAGCAAGAAAAGGCAGAGGAAGGGACTTCCCTGGTGGTCCAGTGGTAAAGAATCCGGATGCCTCGCAACGTCTGAGATCCCACATGCCGCGGGGCAACTAAGCCCGCGAGCCACAACTACTGAGCTCGCACGCCTCAACCAGAGCCCGCGTGCCGCCAACTACAGAACCCACGCGCCGCAACTACAGAGCCCACGCATCCTGGAGCCTGTGCGCCACAACTAGAGAGAGAAAACCCGCAAGCCGCCGCTAGAGAGAAGCCCGCACACCACAATGAAGAGGCCGTGTGCCGCAACAAAGACCGGACGCAGCCTAAAATAAGAAAGAAAAGAAAAATAAATAAATAATAAAAAGAAAAGGCAGAGGAACAAAAACTTAAGGGGCGGTGGCACGCCTGGGTGGATAGCGGATAACAGAATGATGAGAGGGCAGACGCTGTTCGATCACCCCTGCACCTCTGTCACCCGGCGCAGGCAGGCCGGCGGTGCGCTGAGCTAGCGGGTCCTGACCTGAATGCCGAGGGGGCTCTCTGTGCCTCTCCTTCCTTCCCCTCTCCGGTCCCACCCACTGGGATACCCCAGCCTCTCACCTGCCACACAGACATCGAAGTAGTCACCGAACTCGCTTCGGATGTGCTTCACCAAGTCTACGGCGTAGTTGAAGCCTCCGTCCTCCTCTTCCCACTGGTCACCTATGGGGTCTGCAGGGTTGGAGGTCACAGTGCTGGGTCTCACCAAACCTCCAGGTAGCCTCTCTGTTCCTTCTCCCCCCACGCCCAGGACCGTGAGCACGTTGAAGGCAGAGCCTTCCTGTTACTCAAGTTGGTGTCTCCACTTTCTAGCGTAGCACTTGCTAAACAGTGGGAGGGAAGACAGCAGCCAACCCATCAGACAGTCACTGAGCACCGACTCCGAGGGCCCCGTGCTGGCAGCAGCAGACAGGGAGCAGCTGCAGCTCTGCGTTCAGCCTGGAGCATCGGTGATCCCTTCCCTACTCACACCTGGGTGTGTCCACACACCCTCACCCAAGCCCACGGCTCGTTCTCCCGCTCCCTCGGAACCCTCGCCTCCCGGGAGAATCTTCCACTCATCTCAAGTGAGAAGTGGTCTTTCGGGTGGTGAGCGAGAGACCACAAGTGCCCACCCATCAGGCTCCCACTTTCCACACTTGTGTGGCCCAGTGACAGTGCATGCCAGAGGCATAACCAGCTATTCTCGCTCCTAGGACACATGCCAGAGCTGAACTCTTCGACTGGGCCAATGGCCAGGTGCAGCCAGGGATTGATTAATTGCTTGATTAATTGATCAACTGATCGTGCACATCGGGACAGAGGGTTGTGAGGCCCCGGCCACAGGCCCAGCTGAACTCCTACTGCGAGGTCAAGAAGTGGCTCCATCTGTGTGTCGCCCATGTCCTCCTGACCCACACTGCCTATTGATGCTACTGGCAGGGGCGGGACCCTGAGTGTGCTCAGTGTGGGACCTGGAGAAAAGGAAAGGACCGTTCCGGGGACAGAAGTCTTCAGGAAAGCAAGACCCCAGAGAGCAGAGTGCTAACTCCACACCTCCCCTCAGCGCCAGGATGTTCTTCAGGCCCAGACGCTTGGCCTTGTGCAGGTGGCCCGTGATCTCTTCCCGGCTCTGATGGCAGCAGGTCATGTGCAGGATGGTCTCCAGGCCACAGTAGTTCACGGCAGTGCTGGCGATCACCATGGACGAAGTCTCCTTGTCTGAGCCAGGGTCCCCTGCTGGATGCCAGGTCACATCTATGAAGAGGGGACCACCTGCCCCCATCCGGTCAAACCTGTGGGGAATTTCTTTCTGAAGTGGGGCTCCTGTGGGTACACTACCCTTCACCACCTTCCCATGGGGTCTGGGAGTTAGAGAAGCATCACATGCAGGCTGGAATCAGACCGACCTGCATTCATATCCTGGCTTTGCTACTCACTGGCTGTGTGATCTTGGGAGAATTACTTGATCTCTCTGAGCCTCAGTTTCCTGATTTCTATAATGTGGCAGAGGACAGTGCCTACTTCATAATAATACTCTGAGGATATCATGACAGATGGCTCCACGGCTCTTAAAACAGCGCTGGGTACATGGCAAACACACAATCAATGTGCTATCATTACGATTACTCTTATTGTGGAGATAATATATAATGACAATGAACCAGCTTGTGTGAGAGCAGCACTTTGGCCTTTCAAAGTGCTTGCACGTTTATTATCTCTGGTGAGTTAAGACATTTCAATGGTCAAGGGTTCGGGGACCCCTCAGAGTGGCAAAAGCAGGGCCTCGTTCTAGGGACAAAGAGGGTCAGCAGACACAAGTCTCTTTCCTGCCGCCCCCCAGTTCCGGCGCAGCAGCCAAGAGTCCTGCAGAGCACGGCCACATTTCCATAACTAGAATCAAGAGCTATACGTGCGCACATGCACTGTGTTACAAGCTATAACGTGGTGCATTGAAACATCTTTGTGCCTTCAAACTTCACAGCCTTGGGAGTGACACATAAGAAGTGCAAGCGATAAAAAGCATAAACTTTAAAAAAGGAACTGTGATTCATCAAGTGCTAACATAATCCGGTTGGCATTTCTAGATTTCAAGATGCATAATCCAAATTCCTAACTTGCTGAAAATGTTCTCCAAGCCGCCGTTTTGTAACTTCCTAAACTCTCCTCACGGATCCAGCCCCAAGTTCCGCCTAAGAATTTAGTCTGAGAGAGTCAACATTTTTAGCACATGGAAGACAGTGTCTAAACATTCCAGGTGCTTGGAGGGGCTTTTACAGACAACAGAAGCTGCGTATCAAAGGATCTACCCTGGCTTTGCTTTTTTCCACCCCCTGTGGCTGCCTTTTCCTGCTGGGTCAAAGTGCAGCCCAGCCTCGGGGCTGACAGTTCATCTTTTCCCCCTGCCCCCATCCCCCAGTCTGGCCCTACTCCTTATCTTGGGTTGACTCACCTTGAGATGAGATTGACAGCTCCCTCAGCAGTTCGAGGAGGGAAGAATTCTAGGGAGAACCACTTGTCCCCAGATTCCACCCTCCGCCTCATCTTCTCCCTGAGCCTCTCGTGTCGTTCGGGGTCCAGCACCGGTGTGGGACACCTTGAACTATCCTTGGAGCTCTCGCTGCCACTGCTGCTGCCCTCCCAGCGGGGGCTGGGGCCGCCATGCCCTCTGGGTTCGTTCACCATGGCTGAGCTCCTGCTGCACGGGGTGAGGCAGGGGGCGTGAGAAGGCAGGCAGGCAGCCAGCCCAGCCCCAGCAAGGCAGGATCAAGCGAGAGATGCTGCATTTCCACGCACGAGGAAGGCCGGTGAGGGTACGGGTGACAACGCGCCCACCCAGTGGCTCCACACACCAGTTACGACTGTCTGCGCTGCCTCGCTCCAAGCTTTGCCCTCCGCTGCTGCCCGATTCCGCATATGACAGCCCCCACCCAGCACAGAAACATGCTCCTTCAGCCCGTGGATACTCCGTGACCGCTACCTGATGGAGGGTGGCACTGAGAACCTCGCGCTGCCGGCCTCCCAGGCCCGCATTCCCAGGGAGGGGCAGCAGTGCCCCGCCGGGAGCACCTTGGGTTTTGGACGGTCCATCTCTGCCAGTGTAAACTCAGACCCCAGACCACTGGGGAAGAAATGGAGGAACCTTCCCCAGCGGGTGTGTCCGACTGGGCGGAGCTGTGACAAAGGAAGAGCTGAGAGCAGCAGCTGGGGCCGGCGCGAAGGGGCGGGGGCAAGGCTTCCCGGCGAGAGGGAGGGCTGAGGCTCTAGAGGCCGAAGGCGGATGGAAGGAGGGGGACGTGGGGCTGCAGACTGCAGGGCTTGGGTGTGATGAGGCCAACAGATATTCAGGGTGACTGGATCACATGCCAAGGAAGGAACGGCTCAGCCATGGAAACATCTCCTGTTACTTGGAACAGTTTGTACGCATGCAAGCTGGAAGGGGTGAGGGCTTGACAAAGCAGCCTGATTTCTCCCGAGTTTGTGCTTCTCTGAAAAGACCATGTCATGGGTTAGAACTTGACATTGGCTGGGTTCCAAAAACAGCCAAACCCAAATTCAGTAAGGGCATGAATTTATGTCCAACTCAGAACAAAGGCTTAACAGTCCGTGCCTGCCTTCCAGGCTGTTCTCCTTACACACACCAGTGAAGTCAGTTCAAGCGATTACAGCGACTGCAAAGCCACCACGGTGGAAGCCCTGAACCATGGCAACCACAGGCTGGCCGACGAGAGGGCACAGCGCCGTTGGGCAGTTTGGTGGGGAAAATAAGACAAAAACTAAAACAAAACACTACTCTTGCACAGCAAGATGCAAACACACAGTAGTGAAAATCCAGGGTGTGGTGACCTGGAGCATTGGAGGAGCAACCAGGCCAAGTTCACGTCTTTCAGGGAATGTCCACTGCTAAGCCCGTGTTCTTAACCATTTTGGGGGTCCTAGACTCTTGAGAAACTGATGAGATCCAATGCTCCTCTCCCCTCAAACACACACAAGTGCACGTAACACACCCTGGTACACCCAACGTCAAAGAGTTGAGACCAGACCACCGCCAGGGATGCCCATTTTGATTCTGACCTAAAATTCCTGTTTCTCTGTGGGGATGAACGACTAAGAAAGGGGAGAGTGTCAAGATCAGCCTAGTCTGGTCTTTCTTCCGAATTCCAGAGAGTGCCTCATTAATTGTCTGCTGGAACAAAACCAAGAGGGGAGAGGAGGCTGAACCACCCACAAACTAAATGCTCTTTCATCTGTTCATTAAGACTTACTGCATTCCTAGTATGTGCCAGGCATTAGCCTTCTTCCAACATTTTTCACGTGCTACCACTTAACCCATTTTAAGCTAGGATCCCATAGCACCCTGGGCTGCAACTGTGGGTTCACATATTTGTCTCCGCTCCCTCTTCCCAGTTCCCTGAGACCAGGGCCGGGTATTCTGCCTATGGTATCTCCGCGCTGGCACCCGGTAACAGCCAGCACTCACTGAGCGCCGACGGGCCAGGCGCTGTCACCCCGTCCTCAAAGCAACCCTCTGCCATTTGATGAGCACTTAATCGGTGCCAGGCACCGAGCAGTGGGGCAATACGGAGCCCACCACTCCCAGAGGGGTCCCGGTGTGCACCTGTGAGCCGGCCGATGCAGTGGGCGTCGGGGACAGCAGTGCCAGCGGCCCACGGCTCTTCTCCAGGTGCTCGGCAGGGAGCCGGAGAGATGCCTCTGGCGCCGGGGGCTCGAGGGCCACGAATCTAGTCACCGGGTCACTAGGTCACGGCCGGGGGCGGAAGCGAAGGCCCAAGTCCACCCCCAGCTCAGGGCCGCCTCAGCCCTGCGGTCCTTCAGTCCAGGCCGGGGGCCGAAAGTTAAGTCTCCGCTTCACGGTTGAGGATCGCGGGGGGGAGTGCACGCAGAGGGGGCGGGCCGACCGGCCACCACCGCTCCCCGCCCTCCGTCCAGAGCCCGCCCCCGGGTAGGTGGCCCCCAAGGCTCCCAAGGCCCTGGTCTCCCTCCCCGGCGACCACAAGCCTCGCTGTCACTCACCCTCTGGTCGCGGATGACTCAGAGCGCGCGCCCGTCGCAGCTGCGTGGCCGATAAGGAGGCGCCAGCAGACGCGGCGCGGCTCGGGTGGGGGCGCGGCGCCGCTGTCAGGTTGCTTAGGAAGGCGGGGCCAGAGGGTGGAAACCACCCTTGCGGGCGCCCGGAAACCCCGCCCCCAACATGGCGGCGCCCAGAAGTCTCGTTGGAAGCCGTCCCTCCACCGTCATGTGACGCGAGCCCTCGCCTCACCCGTCTGCAGCCACTCCCAGTCTCCGTCCCAAGCTCGAGAGGGCCACGTGACACTCCCGAGGCCAGTCACGTGAGGCGCGGATCCTGGGTGGGAGGGGGTTGGCGGAGGGGTCCAGAGTGGCAGTAAAGGAGGAAGATGGCGGGGTGCAGGGGGTCCCTGTGCTGCTGCTGCAGGTGGTGCTGCTGCTGCGGTGAGCGTGAGACCCGCACCCCAGAGGAGCTGGTAAGAAGCGGGTGGAGCCGGGCTGGGGAGGGGGCGGTTGCTAAGGGACGGCGAGAGGCGTTGCCGGGGGTGGGGCCGGGCCGAACTGGGCCCGCAGGTAGCAGCGGGTGGGGCCTGGGGACCGCAGCCTGGGCTCTCGAAGCATCTGCCCGGCTTCACGTGCCCAAGCCTTGGGTCATTTCTCAGAACCCCTCCCTGGAATCTGAGGGAGAACCCAGGCCAGCTTCAGTTAATCCCATCCTTATTTTTTTTTAATTTCCATCTGAATGGAGTTTTGAATGAAACGAGCGTTTTCGGACTGAGCCCCCTCACTGGACTTTGTGCATATCATGCAGCTGGCTTAGTTTTTCCAGCCCTTTATCACTCTATCCCTCACCCTTTCTGGGTCACTGATAATCCAGCGTCCCTCTGCAAAGCACCCTGGGAAAACTTGAGTTGTTGTGTCCCCAGAGTTCACAAGTCCCTCCTGATTTCAGACTCGGCATGTTATCAGACGGAACCTGAACTCTTTCCCCCTTAAACTGGCAAGTGACATCTTTGAAGTGTCCTGACGATGAGAGGTTATTTGGAGAATGTATAAGTAGGAATGAAACGCTCACCTGATGACTGTAGATCCCCACCACATCACCCCCATCCCAAAAGGTTTTTTTTTTTTTTAGGTCTTGTTCCCATTTGGTGATAATGGCTCCAGATGATTTAGAAACTAGTAGCTAGTTTCAGTAAATACTTCTGCCTCTTTCCACTTTTAAAACCATTAAAAAGGTCTTCCTTCTCTGGATCTGTTTTTCTAGACCATCCTTGGAGAAACACAGGAGGAGGAGGATGAGATCCTTCCAAGGAAAGACTATGAGGTAAGATTCTTAGATGCTGTCTTGGGTAACATAAGTAGTGAGTGACCTCACGTCAGAGCGAAGCATTAGGATTCCAACCAGAGATGCCCTTTGACCTTCTCTCCCGGGGAGTGAGTGGGTAAGATGTAACTTCTTTGTGGGAAGGGGCCTGTTTAAGAAGCGCTTTTCTCACCTCAGCCCCAAAGGGGTGTCTCCAGGCTCTCATAGATCTGTGGCACCTTAACCTGGATAGAGCATGTGTTTGCCATTAGACTGTTTGCTTTTTTACAACTTGTAGAGACCCAGAGTCAAAGCCACTGACAGTGTTTGCTAGTAACAGGTGTGAGCCAGGAGACCTTGCTTCTCTTCTAAGAGAACTGGGTTTTCAGATGATTGTTTCCTGCCCAAGCAGCTTCTCTCAGAATTGTCAGTGCTTGGTTATAGTTCCGGATTTCAAGCATGGGACTCTTAAAGTGTGTGTGTGTGTGTGTGTGTGTGTGTGTGTGTGTGTGTGTGTGTAGTAAGGCCAGTGCTGCGGGAGTGCCTTTTATCATTTACAGTTTATGATGACATTTCTATGATTTTTGAAATGGCAAAAACAAGCCATGGTTGTGATAGAGGATTCGTAAATGATTTATAAAAAGAAGCTAGGGAAAAACCCATAACACTGCTCGTTAAAAGATGATTATTCACTTTACTAAACGTCCTTTTCCATGTTTTTTTCTTAAGTAACAAAGTGAGACTCTACTAAATACACTATTTTAACATGTTTTCCCCTCCCAGTTGATAAGAATTTTTGTAGCAATAGATACTTTTCTGTAATATCTTTCTAAATAGGGGAATAGCATTTCATTGTGCCACAGTTTCTTTAATCTGACTTCTCTATATTATGAACTGCATCGTTGTGACCATCCTTTCTTGTTCATCCTTAATTGCTTCCTTAGGATCAATTCCAAGAAGTGGGCTTAGTCATGTCTATGTTTAATGCTTTAAAGAAAATGTCAGGTAGACTTAAAAAAATCAACATCCTAGAGCAATAACATACCCAGACTAATTTTCTTTCTAATATTTTATCTTACTCTGGCTGTAGAATTTAGTGTAACTATTATGATTTATAGCTTCGCATGGAATTTTTAAAAAACTTTTATTATAGAGAATTTCAAACATAGACAAAAAATAGGCAGAATAGTGCATCGAAACCCCCTGTATCATCACACAGCTTCAGCAGTCACTCAGCTCATGCCTAACCTTGTTTTATGTAGGCTCCCATCCACTTCCCTCTTCCCATATTATTCTGAAGGAAATTCTATACATCACATCATTTCACCCATAAGTAATTCAGTGCGTATCTCTAGTATATGAAGACTTTTTTTTTAGCATAACCCAATACCATTTTCATACCTAAGAAATTCACGATAATTCCTTGATATCAAATAACCAGTGTTCAGATTTTCCAGTTGTCTTATAAACGTCATATGTACTTTTTAATAGTTTGTTTGAATCAGGTTCCAAATGAGGTCCTCACATTGCATTTGTGTGATATATCTTTTTTTTTTTTTTTTTGCGGTACGCGGGCCTCTCACCGCTGTGGCCTCTTCCGTTGCGGAGCACAGGCTCCGGATGCCCAGGCTCAGCGGCCATGGCTCACGGGCCCAGCCGCTCCGCGGCATGTGGGATCTTCCCGGACCGGGGCACGAACCCATGTCCCCTGCATCGGCAGGCGGACTCTCAGCCACTGCGCCACCAGGGAAGCCCTGTGTGATATATCTTTTAAGTCAAGTAGGTTTAAGATGAAGTAGATTCCACCTTCATCTTTTTTTTTCCCCTTGCAATTGACTTAAAATAATTTTAGGAGTCTAGAACTTGCCAACTGTACCACAGTGGTATAGTGTAATGGGCTGCTCTGATGTGAGTGCATTTAGTCAATCAAAAAGCACTGTATCCACTGATGTATTGTCTCATATTTCTTTTTTTTTTTTTTTAATTTTTATTTATTTTTATTTTGGCTGTGTTGGGTCTTCGTTTCTGTGTGAGGGCTTTCTCTAGTTGCTGCGGGCAGGGGCCACTCTTCATCGCGGTGCGCGGGCCTCTCACTATCGCGGCCTCTCCCGTTGCGGAGCACAGGCTCCAGACGCGCAGGCTCAGCAGTTGTGGCTCACGGGCCAAATTGCTCCGTGGCATGTGGGATCTTCCCAGACAAGGGCTCGAACCCGCGTCCCCTGCGTTCGCAGGCAGATTCTCAACCACTGCGCCACCAGGGAAGCCCTTGTCTCATATTTCTTTGCTTGTACATAGTTGAGAGACTTGCAGGAATAAGTATAAGACAGTCCATATTGTGTTGTCATCTTGCATTCCCTCATTGAGCCTGAGCCTGCTGATATCCTGACTGTTAACTATGACTTACACTGTCTCAGCTTTCATTCTACTCCTGGGAGCTCAGTACGGCATCTGTGCTCCATTGACCTACTGTATCCCCGGCTCCTTCACTCCTTTCACTATACTGTACTCATATTTGTAATGCATTTACTTTCAGCTGATATGCATATTTATGTAAATTTTATGGGCTAATGTTCTTTAGTGTGAGTCGTTAATATTTCTCAGTTAACCGTCTCTGCATATGAGCTTCTTGAGAGCATTTGCTATGTGTAAGAGCAAATTTAGCTAGGCACGTAATCAGAAAAGTCTGCCCAGATTTTATTTATGAGGGATCAACTAGAAAACCCTTCTTTTGAAGCTCTTCCTAAGATGTGTTCTTTCTTGCCTTAGAAAGAGTTCATTGCACATACTTGACTCTTTGATAAGTTGGGGGTTTTATAAGATGTTAGAGTCCCTGTTGCTTTTTTTTTTTAATTGAGGTTTGTAGGGTTTTTTTATTTTATAATTTTTTTTTTTTTTTTTTTTGCGGTACGCGGGCCTCACTGTTATGGCCTCTCCCGTTGCGGAGCACAGGCTACGGACGCGCAGGCTCAGCAGCCATGGCTCACGGGCCTAGCCGCTCCACGGCATGTGGGATCTTCCCAGACCAGGGCATGAACCCATGTCCCCTGCATCGGCAGGCAGACTCTCAACCACTGCGCCACCAGGGAAGCCCTATTTATTTATTTTTGACTGTGTTGGGTCTTTGCTGCCGCACCAAGGCTTTCTCCACTTGCAGTGAGCGGGGGCTACTCTTTGCTGTGGTGTGTGGGCTTCTCATTGCAGTGGCTTCCCTTGTTGTGGAGCAGAGGCTCTAGGCGTGTGGGCTTCAGTAGCTGTGGCATGCGGGCTCAGTAGTTGTGGCTCGTGGGCTCTAGAGTGCAGGCTCAGTAGCTGTGGCACACGGGCTTAGTTGCTACGCAGCATGTGGGAATCTTCCCGGACTAGGGCTTGAACCCGTGTCCCTTGCATTGGCAGGCGGATTCTTAACCACTGCACCACCAGGGAAGTCCCTAGAGTCCCTGTTTTGACATCTATTTTCATTATAGGTGGTTTGAATAATAACAACTCCCTATTTGTGGGATGGGGCCATTACCAAACAGTATTGTTTTCATGCAGGTCACAGAGCCTGTAGTGCCTTTTTGAGTTAGAAAAAGGCACCCTTCAGAGCTGGGAGGACTTAGAATAAAAGGCCTCCCCCTCTGAGCCATTGCAACGCCCCAGCTAAAGGCCCATTGAAGGTGCTTTTTGTGTGAGCCCTAAGGTGCCCTTCCTGAGTGAATTTGGCCTACATCTCAGTCCCCATATGCCCTCATAGCCAGATGGCATTTTTGCTCATAACCATGGGCAGCAGCCCTGCAAGCCACCTATACAAATTTTATTTTTAAGAAAGTTCTTAGTCCCCCAAACCAAAGAGCAACATATACAGCAGAAATAAAAAGGAAGTTAATCATGGCAAAGGAGAAGTAACAATATCAGGTTGGTTTTTTTTTTTTTTTTTTTTTTTTTGTGGTACGTGGGCCTCTCACTGTTGTGGCCTCTCCTGTTGCGGAGCACAGGCATGTGGGATCCTCCCGGACCGGGGCGCGAACCCGTGTCCCCTGCATCGGCAGGCGGACTCTCAACCACTGCACCACCAGGGAAGCCCAGACAATATCAGGTTTTAATAACAGATCATATAGTTCATTGGTACCTGTTTACCAAGTGTCAAACTTTCAGCTAATTTATTTTAAAAAAAGAAAAAAAGATTGGTGTTCTGGTGTTCCAGTTGTTTCTAAATGTCCCTTTTAACAGCTTTATTGAGCCATAATTCACATGCTATACAATTTACCCATTTAAAATGTACAGTGCAATGTTTTTTTAGTATATTCACAGAGTTGTGCAATCATCGAAGCAATTTCACAACATTTTCATCACCCGGGAAGAAACCATGCACCTGTTAGCAGTCACTGCCCATTCTTCTTGCCCCTGACCGTAGGCAACCACTAATCTACTTCCTATCTTTATACCTTTGCCTCTTCTGGACATCTGCGAGCGTTTTCAATGTTTATGGAGTCACAGTGTTATTAGAACCATCAAGCAAATAGTTAATTGCCAGTGATTTTTATACATATTTGGTATGAAGGATAGTCATATTTTCAACATGTCAGTTTTTTTCTGTTTGTTCCTAGAATGTGATGTCACTTAATTGATTAAAAAATATATATGTGTGTATATATGCACACACACATATCCACAAACATGTTTGTGTATACAGTAGCTGACCCTGAACAACACAGGTTTAAACTGCTCAGGTCCACTTATATGCAGGTTTTTTCCAATAAATACAGTGCCTGTATTTTCATTTTACAGATATTTAAATTAACTAAGTGTGGGGAAAACCTTGTGTTCCATTAGAGATCACAATATGTGGAATCAAAAGAGCTAGTATCCAAACTGTTTCAGCTTCTTGCCCTTGGGTGAGTCATTTATCAGTTTCTTCATTTTTGAGGCAGAAATAGCAAAATTCGGATTTTCGACTGTGTGGGAAGTTGCTTCCCCTAACCCCTACGTTGTTCAAGTGTCTACTTTATGTACGTGTATGTGTAGAATATGTATGTGTATATATATATAATCATTAAATACATATATATATTTAGTCATTCATGGATGGGTCTAGTTTCCCAGCAGAAGTATAGTATACAGATTGAGTTTTTTTTGTTTTGTAATCAGGAAAACAATTTTGTTTCTAATATAAAAAGTACACCATGTTTGCTGGGAGAATTTTAAATCATATCCAGATGTGAATGCCTCCTAAAACACCAGAGATAACCACTGTTAACAGTTTTCCCAAATGTTTTGCATTGTATGCTGACATACAAATCTTAATTTTATTTAATCAAAATAGGATTATATTATACATTTTATTCTGCATCTGCCTTTATTTATTTTGCATCTTGCCTTTTTTACTTAATTTTTGCACGTTTTCCCCATCTGTCTTTGTAGACCTGTCAGAATTATTTTATGGCTCTATAGTCTTCTGTATCTGGGTGGATGATAACTGATTTAGTCAGTCGCCTGTTGTTACTCCAGGACCCTTTAACAAAAGGAATTTGGACTTTGGGTAGTCATATAAATGGAAAAAACTGTCACGTGTCACACCTGTGTTTGTTTGGCTGACTCTGAACTCCTGTCTGGGAGTGTGGCCACCGGGCCAGTGTCCAGTTTGTTCACTAGCTGACATGTAGGTAGCAACAGGTTATGGGGAGAGAGCACACAGAAGACTGTTTTCCTTTGGTGCCAAACTGCTGCTTCTCATGCAAGATGTAGAAATAAAATTATTTACTTTGAATTGTTTCTTGAAATGACTCTGGCCCACCTGCAAAGCATTTGCAGAACAGCTGTGTTCTGCGAAGTTTAAGGAAAACAGTCTCCACGTTTGTCTCGTGACTAACCTCTTTTTCACAGACACGAACTGCAGAAGGTACTTAAAATTAGACTTTCTAAATTAATTTGGTTCTGGTTAATTGAAGTATTTGTTCATCTAATAGAGTAAGTTGGGTGACACTAGTGACAGCTGAAGGTCTTTTAATGTTTGGCAGAAACAGGACACTTAAAAATATGTAGTTTAAAACTTCTTGGGACTTCCTGGTGGCTCAGTGGTTAAGAATCTGCTTGCCAATGCAGGAGACACGGGTTTGAGCCCTGGTCCGGGAAGATCCCACATGCCGCGGAGCAGCTAAGCCCGTGTGCCACGACTACTGAGCCTGAGCTCTAGAGCCCGTGAGCCACAACTACTGACGCCCACGCGCCTAGAGCCCGTGCTCCGCAACAAGGGAAGCCACCGCAATGAGAAGCCTGCGCATCGCAACGAAGAGTAGCCCCCACTCGACGTAACTAAAGAAAGCCCGTGCGCAGCAACAAAGACTCAACACAGCCAAAAATTAATTAATTGATTAATTTAACTTAATTAAAAATTAAGCAAAACACTTCCTAAAGCGTGAAGTATACACCTAAAGCAGTGCTGCTGAAATGTCCGTATAAAGCACAGATTGCGATACTGCAGGTCTGAGGGGGCTGAGGGTGTGTGTTTCTAACAAGCTCCTCCTGGGTGCTGCTGTGCCCACCTGTGCTTTGAGTGGCAGGAAACGGGAGTTTTATCCCTTTCCAGGTTTTGGTAATTCTTCCTTTTGGCTTGGGACTTTTTTTTTTTTTTTAACTCACACGTCCCTCTTTCAGAGTTTGGATTATGATCGCTGTATCAATGACCCTTACCTGGAGGTTTTGGAGACCATGGATAATAAGGTGAGTCCTTTATTGATCTCTTGGGACCAAGTAGGTCTTAGGACAGCTTCTTTTTCTGTTCTAAATACTCAAGTAAATTTCTTTACCCCTTGGCCTCTTAACCCTTTTCATGAGATATCTGCATTTATTACTTAGTCGTTCAACCTGCCAACCAGAGTGCCCGCTGTCAGTGCTCCTGGCCCGGCCCTTAGCGTTCTTCATTCTTGCATTGTAAAGCACCTGCCACCCCAGACATCATCACCGTGCTTGCCGTCCATATGGAATTTAGTCTAAAACTGGTTGGCTGAGATGTATTCCCTCCCTGCTGTCATCATAAGCCTGCAATAAACGGAATCATTTCTTTCCTTTGTGAACAGAAAGGTCGCAGGTATGAGGCGGTGAAGTGGATGATGGTGTTTGCCATTGGAGTCTGCACAGGGCTGGTGAGCAGGCGGGGCGTGGGGAGACGATGGGCCAAGGGGCGGAGGGGTCAGAGGGCAAGCTCCAGCGGCGAATAAGTTGTTTGTTTTTATAACAGAGACTGCCTTACCCCCCCCGCTCCTTTTTTTAAAATCATAATCCTGACACGTCTTCATACTTCTCTTGCCACGCAACTCTGATGCCCTTTAAAGCACGCAAAGGCTTTTTGAAACTGCATTTGGAAAGAGCGGAGCAGGCCCTCACACATCTCTGTACTGTTCCTCTCCAAGCACCAGTGGTCTTCCTTGGTCTCCGATCTTTTTTACCATCCTTTTCCCTCTGTGCTTTAACTCTCCTTCTGACAACTTAGCTGCACCCCTTTCTTTTGTGCTTGGAGGGGCTGTGGCGCCAGGCTCAGGTGGGACCCTCCCGTAGCCACAGTGACTAAGGAAAGCCTGTTCCCGCGTGGCCTGTTGGTAACATTGGTGCAGGTGACCAGCGAGAACAGGCAGTGGGGGGAAGGGGCGGTGCCTCAAGGGGAGTGCCTGTGACAGCGGGGAGACCTGGGTGAGCGCCCACGTGCTCTTCACAGGTGGGTCTCTTCGTGGACTTCTTTGTACGGCTCTTCACCCAGCTCAAGTTCGGAGTGGTGCAGGCGTGTATCCTTTTCGTGGGTCTTGGTGTTTCCGGACGTCAGCACCTGCTGACTCTGCTTTCCCGTCTAGAAGTGAGTTTAACAGCAGACGTGATCTTTGAAGAGCTACGTATTAGCCACTTGGGTTTGAGGCTTTTCATTATCATCGAAGGACACGAGAGGAAGACTTTAATAGAAAGGTGCTCATGTTCATGGTTAGTAAGACCTGAAGCACAGATGCCTATTTTCCCTGATCGATCTATGAATTCATTGTAGTTCCAATGGAAATTCCAGTAGATTGTTGCTGGAACTCGAAAAGTCTCTTCCTAAATTTGTGTGGAATAGTAAAGAGCCCAAAGTAGCTGAGACAGTTTTGAACAACAGACAGGGGACTAGCCATACTAAATGTCAAGACATATAATTTAAGATACAGTCATTGAAACAGTATCACATTGGTGCGGGAATACCCGATTAGACCAGTGGGAAATAATAGAGAAGCAGAAACTGGCCCCCACACATATCGAGATGTGGTGACTGACAGAGTTAGTGTTATAAATTAGGAAGGATGGATTAGTTAAAAAGATGCTGGGACATCAGTTATCCACCTGGAAAAATACAAAATTAGATTCTTTGTACTATAAATTAATTCCAGATGGACTGAAGATGTCAATAGGTGAAACAAAACTTGAAGAGATGATGTCATGTTGAGAGTACAGAATAATTTCTAAGGACTCCAGGAGGCACAGAGTGAAGGGGAAAAGATCAATAAACTTGACCACATCAAAGTAAACATTCTATTTATACACACACAAAAAAACCCCAAACAACAATAAAACACCATAACTAAACTGAAAAACAAGTTTACAGCCTAGGAGAGGTTGTTCCCGTGCATTTAAGAGACAAATAATTAGTATCCAGAATAGAGGGAGAACTGCAGCTCAGTAAGAAAAAAGTCCAAACAGCCCAGTAGAAAAGCAAGCAAAGGATGTGAACAGGCAATTCTCAGAGGAGGAAAATTAGCTGATAAATAAACCTCACCTCACCACCAGCAGGGAAATGAAAATTAAATACATAGGAAGGTGCACCTTCCTGACTCCTGAGTTTCTGTTCTAAATGTGGCCCTCAGACATGCACAGAGATGTTCATTGCAGCTCTGTGATGGCAAAGGATTGAAATCACACCAAATGGGAGAGTGGGAAAATTGATGTTCACATGATACGGTTTTATGTAGAAGTCAAAATAAATGAACCAGAGCTTTTACATCAGCATGACTAATTCTCAGAAAGCGTTGAGGGAGAGGAAAAAGGCAGCTGTAGAATGTGCATCAAGTGCAATGCCATTGTTTTAATTTTAGAAGCACCTAGAACAATGTGGATGCACATGGAAACTTGCAGGGGAGGATGCGCAAGAGTTTCAGCTTAGTGGTTTCTTCCAGGAGAGAGGGAGGCAAACAGAAAGGGTTTTGTTGTTGTCGTCGTTGTTTTTAATGGTATCTAATGTTTTCATTTTTAAAAAATACCTGGAGCAAATGTGGCGTAACACTGAGATTTGTCAAGGCATGGGCTGTGGGAGTACAGGTGTCTGTACCTTACCTCTCATAATGTTTGAAGTATTTCATAGTTTAAAAATGGTTCCTAATGTAGGAGACATCTCAGGCAGCTGTGTTTTTTTTAAGTTTATATACGGAGAACAGGAGGGTGTGCAGTAAGCAGCCACCGTGCTTCAGAAGAGGAGAAGCTGCCTCACTTCAAGTGACGGTAGGACCACCCCAGCTAGCGGGCACGGTTTCCTTAACCCCATGTCTGTAGCGGTGGAGGAGTGCAGCCAGAAAGGCTGCCTCGCCCTGTCCCTCCTTGAACTCTTGGGTTTCAACTTGACTTTTGTCTTCTTCGCGAGCCTTCTTGTCCTAATTGAGGTGAGGTGGTGGGGTGTCGCCTCTTTGCTCATGAGGTTTTGCTCTCATTTTCTCCATCTCCATTTTCGAAATGTCAAGAAACTGATTTAGACTTCGAATATAGATTCCCGTAGAAAAAGTGGTCTCTCGTTCACTTAGAGATGTTTTCTGAAAGTGGTTTCAGCCTCTGGTGAGATTAAAGAGGAACAATCTAGGCGAGAAGGTTGATTTTCGACCTTGGTAGCACGTTAGAAATAACCTGGGGAATGGTAAAAATGACTTTAAATAACTTTAAAATACTTCAAACTTAAATACTTTAAACTTCAGAAGACTTTAAAATAACTTTAAAAGTGACTGATACCCAGCTTAGATGAATGAGGTAAGACTCTCCGGTGGTGAAGGCTGGCATTGATTGTTGAAAGGCCCCCCCAGCTGATGCTGAATCACCAGGAACTTGCTGGAAATGCATCAGACCTACTGAGTCAGAAGCCCGGGGGGCAGGGGCAGCCTCTGGTTTCACAGGCCCATGGGGGGCAGGGGGGTGGGTGCTGCTCTGGTGAAGAGGGTCAGTTCGCCCTCTTTGGTGAGGCTGTCCAGGGTGAACCGTAGACCCAGTGGAGTCTGAGTTTCTGGGTGTACCTGCTCTCCCCATCAGCCAGTGGCAGCGGGTTCTGGGATACCCGAGATCAAATGCTATCTGAATGGTGTGAAGGTGCCCGGAATCGTGCGTCTCCGGACCCTGCTCTGCAAAGTCTTTGGAGTGCTGTTCAGTGTGGCTGGAGGTAAGGAGGGTCTTTTCTGACCTTTATCCTTGAAGCGTTCAGGGGGCGAAGATGACAAGAAGCATCATGTGTGTACACTGAGTAGGTTCGGATTTGAAGGCCCCGGCCTCAAACAGGTTTCTGCACTGTTTGTTGATGGGTTATTTTTTAAATGCAGATGCTCTGAATTAGTTACCATTCAGAGATATCTGACCAGCACGCCACTGAGTCTTGAAGTAGAACGAATGTCTAATTGGTTTGTGGAGTTGGCCTTTAGCAAAGTCAGCAAGTTTTTGTGCCAGATAATATTTTATACTTCGTGGGCCAGGAGGCAAGAAAAGAAGCTATTAGGTAGGTGCTTAAACTTACATGACCGCTTAAAATGTATCCATGTGAGAATGTAAAGACCATTCTGAGCTCTCTCAGGCTGTATAAAAACAGGCAGCAAGGCCATCTTGGCCCACAGGCTATGGTTTGCTGACCCCCGATGTAGAATTTCAAGATTATTTTCTCCTGTTTGTTGGGAATTTGACTCACCCTCTTTCTCTTACAAAGTCATAGGATCATCTTTGTTTTATAGTTGTCAAGAGAAAGGTCTATGTAACAAAGGTCTCCTGACCCAGACCGTTCTGTGCTCACTGATGGCCTCCCCCTTTTCCACCTGTTCCAGGGCTCTTCGTGGGGAAGGAAGGCCCCATGATCCACAGTGGAGCAGTGGTAGGGGCTGGCCTCCCGCAGGTAAGGGTTGATGGTCTGCGGGGGCGGGTTACCCCTGCGAGTGGGCCACCTGCACAGGGGCGTGTCTGTGGTTGAATTTGGAAAAAATCCATCGGGAGCATCCCAACATGGCTTCGGAATCTGCTGTCGCTTTGGGTTGACGAGAAAACGATATGGTCTGTCTCCCAGGAGAGCAGGTAGCTGGTACCTCGAGGCTTTGACGAGGCCCTGCTGAGTCCTAGGAGCAGGAATGGGACAGAGAGAAAGTCTGTTCAAATGAAAGTCACCCGGTGCCTCCCCAGCCTTTGCCGAGCACGTCCCCGCAGGGTGGCTTTGTGGAGCGTCTCGGGAGAGGCTGGAAGCCTTGGCTGAGACGCTCTCAGGCGCAGGTCTGTGCTGATTCCTTTGGAAGCAATGCGGAGTAGCAGCTGCTGTTCTTTAGCGTTAGGCTGTCCGGGCCAGACTCTCATATACTGGCTCCTTTAAAGCCACCTCAAGGGTTGAGTTGCCCTTATCACCTTCCTTCTCAGATGAGGAGCTGAGGCTTAGGGAGGCCAAGGAGCTCGCTCAGGACCCCAGGCTCCCGTGCTCACGGGCTGGTCCACGTGGAGAAGTCTCAGTTCCCTATGAACTGTGGCTTACGGACGTTTACATCTCATGTTCTAAGGGGAGGGAGTTGCTGTGCGGCGGCCTGAGATTTTGTCGAGCAGGTTAAGAGTTGGCCCCCTTGGCCCTTCCTCGGTGACTGCCCCATGACGTCTGCAGCAGCTTTCAGTTCCGCCTAACCCTTCGCTCAGCAATTTCCCCTTTTCCTTTTGGACTCGCTGTCTATGTACAAAATGCAGTTTCTGAGGGGCCTAGAAATTGGGGGGCAGGAAAAGCACTTCCTCCCCGAAGCCGCCTCTCTTCCCATCTGCTGCCCCAGACTCCTTCTCGCAGTCCCTGCCCAGGCGCGCTCAGGCTACAGGGACTCCCCGGCGCTGTGGATGCCTGCAGCTTCGGGCCCCTCTCTGACTTTGTTTTCTCTTGTTCTAGTTTCAGAGCCTCTCTTTACGGAAGATCCAGTTTAACTTCCCCTATTTCCGAAGTGACAGGTATGGAAAGGTTGGAAATTGGGGGTTTTTTTTGGAAAAAACAAGCCGTTCATTTACTGCCACTGAGACCCTACACTTGCTCTAGTCGGGCTCACGCTCTCCCCTGCTGGGTGGGCTGCGTGCAGAACCCGACCGTCCAGAAGGAGGTGGGCTTTGAATTATTCTTCTGAAGATTAGGAGCACAAGGGCCAAGGAGGCATCATGGCTTCCATTTTGTCGTAACGTAGGGCCTCTAGAAGCATCTCAGACAACGAAGAATGTGGTCCAAGATCGAACATACGACCAGGGAAGTCCACAGGCATATTATCAAGGATGGAGTTTATTTGCTTGGTCAGCCGTGTCTCGGGTTTGGAAGGCTGCTTCTGGGCACTCTTCAGCCCGTGGGATTTGCGTGTGTTACTGACCTGCACACCTGGCAAGGCCCTTGCAATCAGGGGCCCAGGGGCTGGGTTGCGGTCCGCCTTCTCGCCTCGGTGTTCCTGCCGGTCACTGTCACCTGCCCCTCTGCTCACAGCCACACTTGTACATTTTCTCTGGTGCTGAGCTTTCTGGAAGGAAGGTCTGATGAGCCAGTGGCTCAGCGGTGACACCAGAACCCTCCAGTCTGCCTCCTGAGAATCCATGTTGAGAGTCAACGGACGTCAGGGAGTCCCCCCACCTGGCGGAGCTCCTCTGGGGAGAGCGTTTGGCTCATAGGTGAACTGCTTTGGCTGCCAAGTTGCCTCCCCAGAGACCTGCCCTTCATGAGCCCTGACTGTTCGTGGGTCTCGAGATGTTAAAATGTCAGTGCATAAGGAAGTGAAAACTTGCCTTTCGCAGCCTGAGGGCTGTTTCTCAGATAAACCGTCTCTCTTTTCTGTCCTCAGAGACAAGCGGGATTTCGTATCAGCAGGGGCGGCCGCCGGAGTCGCTGCAGCTTTCGGGGCCCCCATTGGGGGTACCTTGTTCAGTCTGGAGGAGGGCTCATCCTTCTGGAACCAAGGGCTCACGTGGAAAGTGGTGAGGAAGACCTTCCCCTGAGCTTAACCACACCCCCCAGATTTAAACTGGACACCTCTTACCCATTACCTTTACCAGTAGCTTTTTTTTTTTCCTCTTTTACTGTTTACCAGAGTCATACTTTAAATACAGTTACAAATGTCTGGAAATAACCCGAGCAGAAAAGGTATACCATGCAAACACTAACCAAAATAAGGCTGGTGTAGTAGTTTCTTAACGTTAAAGGAGACTTTGAGACAAGGGGAGTTACCAAAGTGAATGAGGGCCGTTTCACGGTGATAAAAGGCTCGATTTAATCGATAGTTTTAGTTAACCTGTGCTTCTGATGAGACCAAGAGAGTTGACGTTACTGGAAACTCCTTTGCTCTAGACACCCATAACCTCCAAACTGTGGACTTTTCTGTACTTCCCATATTAACACCCTTCCCATCCTTAGTCAAGCTGCTGCTGTTCTCTCCTGACGAACCATCCAACCCATAGGTGAGACCGGCTGTGGTCCTGATGTGAACCCCCGTCTCCTGCCTCAGGGGAGCACTTTCTTCCTCTGGTGTTTACTGTTCCTTTTTTGGCACAGGGCCTGGTGCATAATAGGCTGTAAATGAATAGTCCTTCACAAAAGGCTGCATGAAAACTCCTAATAGCCTGATTTCCAACTTCTCACACTTGTGGTGTATCTACTGCCGTGGTCACCAGGGCCCTGTGTCCAGACCTGGAGTCGGCCGGTCTCTGTGCGGAGCAGGAGGTTGGTGGGGACACGTCTGGGAGGAGGCAGGACCTGTCGCTATCGAGTGTTCTTGTTTTTTCACCTGTCCCCTAGCTCTTTTGCTCCATGTCTGCCACCTTCACCCTCAACTTCTTCCGTTCTGGGATTCAGTTTGGAAGTTGGGGTTCCTTCCAGCTCCCTGGATTGCTGAACTTTGGCGAGTTTAAGGTACGTTTTGTCCTTGCCCCCCAAATTTCTTTCTTGACCCGTGAAAATTGCTCTTAAGTACCAGAGAGAAGCTGTCAGAAGGGTAGGTGCGTCCCTGCCCCTGTCGTCTCCCGCATGCCCTGTGCTCAGTGTGGGCGGGATTCCAGCACTGCTTTGGCTCTCGTAGGGAGAAGGCAGGATCGCTTCTCGTCTCTGTCTTTTTCTGCTCCTGTCCCTTCCTGTTCTCATGGGCACTCTGGTTTTTCTCTCTCCCTCCCTTGCCCCTTCTCTTAGTGCTCTGACTCTGATAAAAAATGTCATCTCTGGACAGCTATGGACTTGGGTTTCTTTGTCATGATGGGGGTCGTTGGGGGCCTCCTGGGAGCCACATTCAACTGTCTGAACAAGAGGCTTGCGAAGTACCGCGTGCGAAACGTGCACCCGAAACCTAAGCTCGTCAGGTACCCACGCAGCCACCCCCCTCCCGCCGCGGCCCCCAGGCCCTGTGGGCACCGGGCCGTCTCTCCCGGGGAAGGAACCCCACTTCCCACACCAGCTTTCATGTCATGTCTAAGACGGAGAATGGAAATCTGTCAGACGGGCCAAAAGACTGAGGCTGAGCTTAATTTATATCAGAGCCACTGGCTCACTCCCAGCCTCTCTGGACTTGGCCACCAGCACACATGACAAAGTCGGTATTGGCCCCGCCGAGGGGTGCACTCTCGCTAGACTCTCGCCCCAGGACTTAAAATGGAAGGCCTTTCATTCCTCGGAGAGAGATGATGTGGCCGTAGCAGCCCACGTTACTGGCTACCCACTTTTTACATGGAAATTGCTGGAATGCAGCAAGTCACTGATAAATTCTGCACACGTGCTAACAGCAGGGTCTGCTGTGCATGCTCTTGGGGGAAAGGAGGGTTGGAGGTAGGCAGTTTTTGAGTTCCCAGGACCAGGTGACTTTTTATCCACAGTAACAGCTGCGCTTTGCCTCCTAGAGTCTTGGAGAGCCTCTTGGTGTCTCTGGTGACCACCGTGGTGGTGTTTGTGGCCTCCATGGTGTTAGGAGAATGCCGACAGATGTCTTCCGCAAGTCAAGTTGGTAATGACTCCTTCGCACTCCAGGTAACCCTGGTGCACCTGCTACCTTTGTCCTACACACGCGAAACAGAAGAATCCGGAAATGTATGGCTTGCCTCAGTTTAGAGCTAATAGATGTGTTGGGTTCATTGTTCCACACCTGATTCAGATTGCCCGGGGTGGGGCGGGCATTGTAGTAGTCTTTTTACCTAAGAGAGGATGTGCACCAAACTTTCTCTTTCTCACTTTTGTGAACAGTCCTGGCTCTCATAGAGGGAACTCCTCTCCCTCTCTCTCCCCCCCATCCCCCTCCCTCCTTCCTTCCCTCCCTCTCTCCCCCCCCCCGTCCCCCTCCCTCCTTCCTTCCCTCCCTCTCTCTCTTTGTTGAACAAAACTAATTGGAAACAGACGTTCAGGATGCTGACTGACTGCTTCTCCTCCGAGCCTCAGTTTACTCTTTGACCCCCCCCCACCCCTGAAAGGTGCATGCCAGCCTCACCCTCGGGATGTAAGAGGCACCCCTCAGACGGGAGAAAGGAGTGCCTGCCTCAGGGCACACGGTGGTCCTGGCTCGTCCTGCATCTTCTGGTTTTTCTGGGTTTAGGTCATTTACTGGCATGCCTCCTCTTTGCATTTCTCCTTTTCCTTTCCTAGGAGTATGTGATGTTTTCTAGCACCTTTCCCCGAAAGAGCCGGTTGAGTGAGGTAGGCATTGGAGCTTACTGTACCCTGTGTTTTTCAGTCCAGTCCGGTGGGTCTGAGAGCCGGCCTCTAGGGTGGAGGCTGGAGGTTCTCTAGTACGTGTCTTGTTGAACTGCGGTCCATGGTTTTTACATTTTTAAAGCGTTGGGGGAAAAAAAAAGAAGGACATGTGACAGAGACTGTATGTTACCTGCACAGCCTAAAATATTAACTGTCTGGCTCTTCACAGGAAATGTTTGTTGATCCCTGTTACTGGCTATTCCCCAAGGCCACCTCTTACCAGACCAATATTTTCCAAAGTGTGTTCTAAGGAACATTGATACACGTGATTCAAGAGCAAACAAATGGAAAAGGATTCTGTGGTCAGATGGGTTAACCAGAGCTGAGTAGGTTTCTTTAATGCAGGGTTTCTCAGGGCCTTTACGGTTCCAGTAAGTGTTAGGAACGTTTGGAATGTTTGTTGTGTGCCAGGTGTTCTAATAAGCGCTGTACATACGTGACCTCCTCACCATTGCCTCGTCGGCTAGCATTGTCCCCATTTTACGGATGAGAAGACTGAGGCAAACTGAGGCCTTGCCTGAGATCACCCAGCTAGTAGTATATAGCATGAGGTGGGTATTATTCCCATTTCATAGATGAGGAAACGGAAGCTTCACAAAATTAAAGACCTTTCCCAAGGTCACTAGAGGGTGGCAGTGTGAGAGTCAAATCCGCCTGATCATGGAGCCTGTTCTCTGCTTTTCACAGATACACCGATTTCCAGCAAGTGCTGTGATACTTCTGTATGCGTTTGACCACAGGACTCTTTCCAGAGCACCTTCAGGACTAGGTTCCTCCAGGCATAGTTTGGGAAACACTGCATGTGCTGGTGATTAAGCTGTCGCCTCAGCTTGTCCCCCCCTTCACTGTTCCGCACACGCGTCTCCTTTGCCAGCTCCTCCCTGCCAGGTTCTGCCGATAGGGGGCGCTCTCCTGTCTCCTACAGCAGCCTTCATCCGGCCGTGTTGCCCAGCCAGGTCCACCTGGTAGAGTTATACAAACCCATCACCTGGTATTGTTACAGGGTCCACATAAGGGCATCTTTACAGTGTCATTAATATCGATAGAATGGAATCCAGGAAAAGTCTGCTTAGTTAACTTTGCAAGAAACACTCTAATTGTTTGCCCAGTGAGAGGTGTGAGGTCTGCCCCCTGTGCTACTTATACATCGCCAACCAGAAAACAGATACCCTTGCCCTATAATGAGTCCAGCAGTGCCCGGATCTCATCTGCTCACACAAAATGATGAAGAGGATGAGAGGGCTGGGATGTGGAGAAATAATCTCTTCTCCCAGCTTGGGTTTTGTTCAGCCAGGTGGGAGAGGCAGCCAGGAGCGCGGTGTCCGCATCGGGCCTCGTGTACATGGGTTTTCTTCTGCAGCAAACTCGGGTGGAGGCTTTTTCCATTTGGGACAAAGTTGGGGCGTTAGGTCAGGCCGTGCCCTGGACTCTCCTCCGCAGACGCCTGTCCACTCCCGGCCACTTGTCGGTCCCCTGCCTCGTCCTCCACCATCCATGGTGCTCTGGGGCCAGGCTTCCCGCAGTACCACTGACAAAATTAGCCCTGGGAGAGGAGGCAGAGCCAGACCACGGTGAACCCTAAGTGTAGTTACATTTTTGTTATGAATGTGCATGAACAGGGCCCTCCTCCTGACTCTTTCTTTCTCAAAACGCAAGGAATATACCGTATCACGGTTGGCTGCTCTTGGGGATCGATCTTTTTTCTGCTGCCTGTTTAATTTACGGGTAAAGCTTGCAAACCAGACTCTTTCGACCTCGCTGGAGACATCCCACTTGAAGTCTCAGATGCCCTACTCAGGGGCCCTTATTTGACTTTTTGATTCCTTTTTCTTAGGTCACATCAGAAGAAGTGAATTCCAGCATCAAGACCTTTTTTTGTCCCAATGAGACCTACAATGACATGGCCACACTCTTTTTCAACTCCCAGGAGTCTGGCATCCTTCAGCTTTTCCACCAGGATAGTGAGTATCTGGGAGGGTGGGGTTTGGGGCAGGAAACAAATGGTTACTCCTCTGTGAGACAGAGCCAGGCTTGCCCTTCATTCTAAGCGAGAACAGGGCTTTTCATTGGTAATGCCAACCCAGACAAGATTGGGGTGTCTGCCTCCGGTGCTGGAGGTGAACCGGTCAGGGCGCAGAAGGACCTGGTGGGAGCCAACGCAGTCTGGTGGGCCTTGGCAGGCATCTTAGCGGGACTCAGGTCGGTCTGTTCTGGCTTTGCAGGTACTTTTAGCCCCATCACTTTGGCGTTGTTCTTCGTCCTCTATTTTGTGCTTGCATGTTGGACTTACGGCATTTCTGTTCCAAGCGGCCTTTTTGTGCCTTCCCTGCTATGTGGAGCTGCTTTTGGACGTTTAGTTGCCAACATTCTCAAAAGGTACTGCGTGTGTGTGTGTGTGTGTGTGTGTGTGTGTGTGTGTGCATGCGCCTGAGCGTGCACTTGAGTATGTATGCACAAGTGTGCAAATCATAACTCCCTCCTGCACCCCCAATATGATTCTAAGGCATGTTCTTGGTTTCTTTCTTCACCAGCTACATTGGATTGGGCCATATCTATTCGGGAACCTTTGCCCTGATTGGTGCTGCGGCTTTCTTGGGCGGGGTCGTCCGTATGAGCATCAGCCTCACGGTCATCCTGATTGAGTCCACCAGCGAGATCACGTACGGCCTCCCCATTATGGTCACCCTGATGGTGAGCGTGCCCCCCATCTAGGCCTCCTTCAGGTTCGGGGCCACGTTCCCCCACAGCAGCCTCTTTTCAAGTCTTTGCTTTGTGTTTCAGGTGGCCAAATGGACAGGGGACTTTTTCAATAAGGGCATTTATGACATCCACGTGGGCCTGCGAGGCGTGCCGCTCCTAGAATGGGAGACGGAGGTGGAAATGGACAAGTAAGGCCAGGATTTCTCTTCATGTCCTAGTTCCAGAATTTACAGACTTTAGGGCCTAGGAATGTTTGTATTAGGTAGGAAACGGTAATTCAGATTCTTGGGTTGGAAGAAGGTAAGTAACAACAGCAAGGTCCTTCCAACAGCAAGCACGTCTGTACCCAAGTGTGTTCGGGATGGTGGAGCGGCCCCGTGCAGCTGGGGACTGGGGCGGGCAGGGCCGCTTCGTGGATGGTTCGGCCGCTGTGGCATTCTGGTTAAATAGGAAATGTTATGATTGAGTGTTTAAATTTAGGCTCCAAGCCCTGTGAGTGAGAACTAGCTGCCTCGTGTGTGCCCAGCGAGGTGTCGTCCCATCAGCAGTGATTCCTCTGGGCATAATCACCAGCTTATCCATCAGCCGACAGATAGTTCAGGCCTCCCGTGTCTGGGATCGTGCAAGGCGCTTAAAGTCTAACGTAGGGGTCAGCCAACTTCTGGAAAGGGCCAGATAGTAAATATTTTCAGCTTTGCAGGCCATGTGCTCTCTGTCCTGCCGCTTTAGTGTAGAAGCAGCCACAGACAACATGTAAACGAGCGAGCGTGACCAGATTGGACCTGTGGGTGACAGTTGCCATCCCTGGTCTAAAGGGACGCCCAAACATTTTAATTCCAGTATAATTAGCAGTTCAGTGGTGATACTGGCATGTGCCATGGGGTGCTGAGGAGCGATGGCCAAACCCCTGAGCAACTGGATGAGGTTTGTGGAGGGGGGACATTCATATTGAGCTGAGGGTCTTGGCCCACACTTCTGACAGAGCAAGGAAGGGCATTCCAGGCACAGGGAACAGCATGTGCGAAGGGGACGGAAGTACCAAGGAACGGGTGTGTTCGAGGAACTGCTAGAGGTGGTTCAGAAAAGGGGCCCAGGTGGTCCAGGCAGTGCAGGAGAGGCAGCGCAGCTCCGTCATGGCTTGCTCCCGGTGCCGTGGACTCTGTCGTGAGTGCGGACCGCTTCCCTCCTTCCCCCAGACTGCGAGCCAGCGACATCATGGAGCCCAACCTGACCTACGTCTACCCGCACACCCGCATCCAGTCTCTGGTCAGCATCCTGCGTACCACGGTCCACCACGCCTTCCCAGTGGTCACGGAGAACCGGGGCAACGAGAAGGAGTTCATGAAGGGCAACCAGCTCATCAGCAACAACATCAAATACAAGGTGAAGGGAGCGGCCCCGGAGGAGAGGTGGGCGATGGACAAGTGGTTCCCTGCTGCCCACAGTCATGCCGTGCCTGTCACACCCCGTAGGTGGGGTGGCCCCGGTTGGCTCTTGTGAAAGCCAGCACTCTTTTCATTTCACGTGACAGTGAGTGTGGACTGGACAGCGAGTATAGACTACGCAGTGAGTAAGGACTGTGTTAGGCCGTCAGGACATGTGTTCATTCCCACTGCAGCAAGCACGTGGATAGATTGTTGTTTTAAACATCAGTCTTGAGTATTCGGTGCAGGTTGTATCGGGGAGGGTTCTGAGTTGCCAACAATGGACTGTGACCTACTTAAGAAAGAAAAGAGTCCATTGGAAACTGCAGGATGGACAGGAAAGCTGAAGCACCAGGAGCAGTGCACTCTGGGCGAGCAGGTGGCTGGTGGCCCCTCTGCAGGTACCAGGAGGCACCTGCGCTGAGGGAGAGTCCCGCTGCCTCACTTGGGTCACGTGCCCACCCTTGGCTTCGGAGGCTGGGGGCCACGTCATTTGACAGGACCGCCAAGACGTGACGTAGGAGCATTGAGATGCTGTCCCTAGATCAAAGGAGTAGGGGTGTTGGGCTGGCAAAAACCTTGAGCTCCAAGAGGCTCCTTTGAATCACAAGCCCCTGAGCCGCTGTGAAGGTTTCTTGCAGTTCCGGCATAGGCCTGTGCTTTTGACCCGCACTGTCACCCACATCCTCACCTGAGTGGGTGCTGGCGCGCCCGCGCTAGCTGGCCGTCGTCGCCGCCCCTCCCACCCACAGAAGTGCAGCATCCTCACCCGCGCCGGTGAGCAGCGCAGACGGAGCCAGTCCATGAAGTCCTACCCGTCCAGCGAGCTGCGGAACGTGTGCGACGAGCACGTGACCTCCGAGGACCCGGGCGAGAAGGAGGACCTCCTGCAGCAGATGCTCGAGCGGAGGTGAGGGAGCGCGGCCGCCTGCGGGGCCGTCAGCCCCTCGCCCGCCCGCCGGAGCTGTCCCGGGGGGCTTGGGGGAGGGGGTCGGGGACGTGGACGGGAAGTGATCCTGCTGAGGGTGTCCTAGGCAGCGTCTGGTTTCTGTATAACAGATACACTCCCTACCCCAACCTATACCCTGACCAGTCCCCAAGCGAAGACTGGACCATGGAGGAGCGCTTCCGCCCACTGACCTTCCACGGCCTGATCCTGCGCTCGCAGCTCGTCACCCTGCTCGTCCGAGGAGTTTGTTATTCTGAAAGCCAGTCGGTGAGTCTCCTTTCTTGTCCCCACCAGGATTCTGGAAGGCATGAGGGTGGCAGGAGCACAGTCCGTGCACCTGCCGTCCAGCGGTGTGTGTGGCCGCGTGGCCCCCGATGCAGGCAGGGTCCCTGCGCTGAGCCCAAGCAGGGCTGTGAGTTGCCCTCCGGCGCCTCTTCCCGTAGTCTCCTCACCCGGGGCTGAGTGTCCTTCTGGCCGGTGGGCTCTCAATATAGTTTCTGCCTTTAATGTCTGCCGTGAATGAGCTTTGTTACATGTGTCATCCAGAGAAATACCCTTCTTCTCATCGATTCCCCTGTAGTTTTCCTTTTTCTCTTTGGTTTTTGTCGAGATAGCAGGCATGGGTGGGCTGTGTTCAAAGTGGTCCCTATAGCGACCTGGGACACACTTGACCCCTTCAGATGGAGCCTGAAAAAGTCACCCAGAGGACTAGTTTCCAAACTGACTCTCCTGCTTTGGGTCTTGCCTGTGGGCAGCCAGCTGAGGTCACTCGTGGTCTCACTGGCCTGCAGAAGAGCAGCTCGCGTGGGCAGGACAGAAAAGGCCATGGGTGGAGAGGCTCAGGCTTGGGGGTGTGGCCTGTGGGGAGGCCCAGCCCTGCTGGAATGGGGGAAAGGTCACGTGCGGAGCACAGGAGACAGGGAATTTGGAGGCATGAAGTGGGCCAGACTACACAGGGCCTTGCCTGCACGTAGGAGCCGCCAGAGCTGGCCCGAGTCAGCGGTGGACGGGGAGGGCTGTGTGCAGAGGGGAGTTAAGGGGAGGAGAGCGGGGCAGGGCAGTGACTAGCACCTGTGCTTCCTGTGCCCCGCTCGAGAGCTGGTAGTGGCGGCCCAGCTGCCCGCTGACGGTCAGCAGCAGTGAGAGCTGAGGGAAAGTCCAGAAGACTCAGAATGCAGGAGGAGTCGCGAAGCTCCTGTGTGAGTCTCCTGTGGCTGCCATTTCCAGTCGCCGCAAACTGGGTGACTTCAAACAACAGCAGGGTATCCTTTCAGAGTTCTCAGGCCACAGGACAAGACGCAGGTGTCGGCAGAGCCGTGCTTCCTCCGGAGGCGCCTTCCTCGTTTGTGGTGGGTGCCAGCAGTCCTCGGCCTGCCTCGACTGGAGGCTCCCCACTCACATCTCCCTCCTCGTCACCCACTCTCTCCCTGTGTGTCCTCTCCTCTCTCATAAGGACAGCAGTCATTGGGTTTAGAGCCCACCCTACTCCAATATGACCTCGTCTTGATTCCGTCCACAAAGGCCTTGTTTCCAATGAGGCCACATTCACAGGTACCAGGTGTTAGGACTCGGACGTATCTTTTGGGGTGACACAAGTCACCCCACACAGCTACTATTAGTTAGCACTTTTCTCGTTGAAACTCTAGAATAGCTCAGGTCTGCTTTACAGATGAAAGGGAAGTTCAGAGAGATTAGGGGACTGGCCCAGGGAGACACAGCTGGGAATTGGCGGAGAGCTGGCTGTGCAGCACCTGCTCTGGCCTCTGCTCTGCCCTGCCCCGCTCTCAGACGCAGAGGGAGGGGGTCTCTAAAGGTGACCCTGCCAGTTGCCGCGTTCGGTGCGAGGACTGTCTCGGTTGGGGTTGCAGAGCGCCAGCCAGCCGCGCCTCTCCTACGCTGAGATGGCCGAGGATTACCCGCGGTACCCTGACATCCACGACCTGGACCTGACCCTGCTGAACCCGCGCATGATCGTGGTGAGACGGGCTTCCCTTGGGGATGGGGCCAGGCACGGAGGCCGAGGGCCTGTCCTGCGTGGACCGCTGCTCGTCTGCACGGTTGGCATCTGATCCTGGCCGGGCAGGCCAGGCCACAGGTCCCCTGTGTTGTCTCCTCTGCAGGACGTCACCCCGTACATGAACCCCGCGCCCTTCACTGTTTCCCCCAACACTCACGTCTCCCAAGTTTTCAACCTGTTCAGAACGATGGGCCTGCGGCACTTGCCCGTGGTGAACGCGGTGGGAGAGGTGAGCAAGCGTAAGGGCGCGTGTGCCTGCGGCCGCATCTTCTGAAAGGGACCCTCTAAGGGCAGTGCTGCTCTCACCCAGGAAGGAGCAGCAGAGTCCTGCAGGGAGGCTTCTCAGACCCGACCTGCTCTGTGGCTCCCCACGGGGGGTGAGGGGCCCAGGAGTGGAGGGGGAGACTGCGGTAGCTTCGGGAACCTTCCCCTTTGCCTCCGGGGTGTTTCTTCTACGCCGTCTCCTGTGTGGCCGGCAGATGTCGCCAGCGTCTCACTGGTCTTCCCTTCTGAGGCCCAGAAGCGCTTAGGGCCTTGTCTCTGTCCTGAAACCTTCCTCTTCACCCTTGACCTGATGGCGCCTCCTTGAGGAGGGGGTCAGTTCCCCCCCTGTTATGGGAATTTGTAGCAGTAAATGAGGGAGTTTCAGACAAAATACTTGGAGAGTTTTGAAAAGTAAAATACCTAGTAATTATTGCTACAGATTTTTCCATTGTTTTCTCTTTCTTAGAACTCCATTGTTTTTCTTATTCCACAAACATCGGTGTTTGTAGGAAAATATGAAAATATAGATAGGCAGGAAAAAGAAATGCCAAACCCTGATCTCTGTAGAGGCAGCCATGTTAACTTTTCGAAGTATATCTTGTTTTTTTCCTCTGTGTCTAGACATAGAGGTTTTATATGTCAAGGTATAGTGAAGATGTTAACACTATTTATCCTGTTTAATACCTTAATTTTTCAGTTAATCTATAGGAAATGACTTTCCACAGCAGAAAGTGTTCACTTGGGATACTTTGACAGCTCGGGAGCATTCCGTCGCGTGGCAGTCCGGTCACTCATTCAGTTTTCCTCTGTTGTGCAATATCTAGTCAAATTTCACCATTAACGGTCACCTGTTTGAGGCTTTCGGTGGGTGTCGCCTCGTTGCCCTCCAGGAAGTGACGCCTCTCCAAAGTGAGGGTCATAGCAGGCCCTCCGACGGCACGGCGTGTCCTTACGCGGATTTAGTGGCAGGGAGTCAAATCGTGTTCCTTGAAACACGCTGACAGTTCTAACGCAGTTTATGGTGTGGGACACCCACCTCAGTGACAGCTGTGAGTCACTGCGATGGCTGTGGAAAATACCCTTTTAGGGAGAACTCTGGTTCTCTGGACTCTCACACTCTGCTGTGCTTCTGTCACTGGCTTGGCGGAGGAGGCCGGGTGTTCCCTACACAAAGCAGTTCTCTGGTTCTCTGGGTACCAGCTGGGCGTCCTAAACTCAACTCAGCCCTGGCGCTGTCTGCTGGGGGTGGCGTCGGGTCCCTCGGATTGAGGGCTCAGCCCCACAAGACTGTTCATCACGCCCGCCTTCCCCCCCACTTCAGTTATCAACGGAAAGTCCAGGTTGTCACCTGTGCTCCTGACTGACTGGCTGTAAATAGGAGGTTCCCATGACCCCCTGCTCACAGAACTCCGGAAAACAGTTACTTATATCCCTTTATAGTAAACAATAATTTAGTAACCCCGGAATGGCCGGATGGAGGAGGTACACCGGGCAAGGGATGTGGGATGGGGAAGGGGTGCCCAACTCTGCATCCTCTCTGGCACCGCCTAGCACCTCACGTGTTCACCAGCCTGGATGTTCTCCAGACCCTGTAGCTCAGGGATTTTAATAGAGGCTTCATGACATAGGCATGATTGATTACATCATTGGCCACTGGTGCTCGATTCAACCTCCAGCCCTCCCCTCCCACAGCTACGGGGTGGTGAGAATGAAAGTTCCAATCTTCCAGTCACACACTTGGTTCCCTGGGAAACCAGCCTCCATCCTTAAGGGCTTTCTAAAAGTTACTTCATTAACATAAACGCTGAGGTGGTTGAAAGGGGCTTGTTAGGAATAATAAGACACCCTTATTACTCATCACTTAGGAAATGCCAAGAGTTTTAAGAGCTTTGTGCCAGGAACTAGGACAAAGTCCAAATATGTGTTATTATAAATCCCAATATCACAGTGACTCAGGTAGCTCTGAAAGGTGGTATTTCTGAGCTGGAGCAGGGGTCACCGCCACTCAGAAGCCTTCCCTGGGCTCTGCGTCTTGCACAGGCACACCAGGCAGGCTGCGTGTGGTGGCTGAGAAGCTAGAGAGCGTGGGCCCTGTTTAAAAAGACATTCACGTTCAGATTCTAGCCGGCCCGACTAAAACCGTTTGGAGCTGAATTCATCCCACTGGCCTCCAGCTTGCGATCGCGAGTTGTGTCTTTATCTCGTTCCCATCTAGAAATTAGGTGGCCTTTTTTTTTTTTAATAAATTTACTTATTTATTTATTTTTGGGTGTGTTGGGTCTTCGTTTCTGTGAGAGGGCTTTCTGTAGTTGCGGCGAGCCGGGGCCACTCTTCATCGTGGTGCGCGGGGCCTCTCACTGTCGCGGCCTCTCGTTGCGGAGCACAAGCTCCAGACGCGCAGGCTCAGTAGTTGTGACTCACAGGCCTAGCTGCTCCGTGGCATGTGGGATCTTCCCAGACCAGGGCTCGAACCCGTGTCCCCTGCATTGGCAGGCGGACTCTCAACCACTGCACCACCAGGGAAGCCCTAGGTGGCCTTTGAAATGAGTGTCTTGATCACGTTGTCAGGCCTGTCCCCGTCCTTCCAGGACCTGATTCTGGCCCTGCCGTTTATTGAGACGGGCCGGGCAAGCTCTGTCCACTCTTGTCCCTCATGTTCTCGTCCCAGTGGGGTTCACTCTGCAGGTGACTTGGGTCTGTTTTTGCTTTGTCCTAGATCGTTGGGGTCATCACACGGCACAACCTGACACGTGAGTTTCTGCAGGCACGGCTGCGGCAGCACTACCAGACCCTATGACGGCCCGGCTCGGCCTCGCCGCCACGTGCCAGCCCGTCCTCTCCGGGAGCTGCAGCTCAGGCTCCGCCGCCATGGCTGGCCAGGAAGATTCCCAGTCGCCCGCTGGCTTGGAAAGCCTACAATCATCGAACACTTTGCCGTCAGAGCTCCTGGGGGTGGTGTCAAGCCATCAGGGTCTGGACTTGTGTGACCTCAGCCAGTGTCTTCCCGTTTCCTGCCCCCTGCGCCCCCCGATCCAGTGCTGGCACAGGCCCCAACCCCTCCTTCCCGCTAGCACCAGGACCAGAAGGGAAGTCGGGCCTCACCCACTGGCGGGGGCGCTCGGAGCAGGTTCCCCACCACCTCTTTGCTCCTTTCCTAGGGAACCCAGCTGTTGCCTTAAACCATCATGGGAGGGACCCAGACCGAGGCAAACACTGGGTGGAATGCCAGTTGCAGAATTCAGTCAATTACTAAATTGAGGAATTGGGCCCTGAGGAAACTACGCCTGTTTCAGGGAGGCCCGCCTTCACTGGGACTCTTAAGTTGACATCTTCAGCAGTTCATTTTGAGGGAGGTTCTGCTTCTGGGTGTGAGCTGGTGCTCTGGTCTCGCTGCTGTGCTGTGAATCTAGAACCCTAGAAGCACAAAGCATTCAAATCCCGCTAATAGCTCCTGATCTGCCCTAGGTTTGAGCATTTCGGCTTTCTCTCCATTTTCCAAATTACCCGTGGTCTCCGAGTGCCACGTTTTTACCCTGGTCCTTCTCTTCTCCATGGAATTACTAAACTTCCTTAAGTTTTACCTGCATCTTCCTCGTGAAGCAACCCCAGCCCAGAGGATCTTGGCATCACCCCTAGATAAGACTGCTTCACTTGACTCTGGGCAATGGGGCAGTTGTTCAGAGGATGGAAAGGAGTGAGTCCTGAGCCAGGTGCACTCACAGGTGCGCGATGTGGCTTAAAACGCCAGAGTGTGACCGCACAGCAGACGTTTATTCGAGGAAGGGGTGTCTGCCCTTAGCGAGCGCTTCTCTCTGGCCGCCTGCTGGCCATCCCCAGCCCACCGGGAGGCTCAGCGGTGGGAACTTCACGAGGGGTTAACAGCGGGGAGAGGGAGGCGGCTCCTGCCAGCACGTGCCCCGGGGTTTTAACATCAAGCGGAGGACGCCTCCCTCTCTCTTTCAGTGACTTAGTTTCCCTTTGGGCTGGTTGGTCCTCTCTGAACAGGCACCCAAAGGCATTTGCGCTTACTTTCCTCTTGTGCTCTCTCTACATGTTTAGCAACATCTTAGGCCCATCGTGCAACCATGTGGCAGATGTGCTCTGAGGGTCAAGGTGGCATTCATTTGCATTACGTTAGTTGTTTGTTTTTTAATCATGGAATTTGCCTGAGGACGTCAGTGCCAGGCCTCAGCAACGCAGTTCTCTCCCCTCAGCCTCCGGACTTCTGTTGCCGCCTTTAAGCCTGGGGAGTGGGTGTCTGCCCGGCTTCGCTGGCTCAGGTCTTGCGCTCCACCCACTCTAGGGAACAACCACCTACGCCGGGGGGCTGCGTCAGCATCATTGCCAATGACTCTGGCCCCTCCATTCCTCCATTTTCTTAATCTCTTTGACCAAGATTACTTGAACCTATAAAATTTTCAACTTCCTTGGGTGCACTTGACTTATGAAACACAGATGAAACTCCCAGTAAGTAGTTCGGGAAATCACAAGGACCAAAAGGGCAAGCCCTTCTAAATGTGATTGCGTTCAACCAGCTGCCAGTATTTTAAGGCAGCATTCGGAACTTGACCGCATTATTTCTTTCATTGAGAAGCAAACCGATGCCCAAGTCAGGCGAGTGGCATGACCGCCCATACCAGGAACCTGCTTTCCTCTTCCCTCTCCTTTCCTCTCCTGAAACTGGTAGCACTGAGGTCCTGCTTGAGGATCTCCCACCTCCAGAGGGCGGGGTCGCAGGCTGCTGGCCTCCTGGACACCCTGGGTGAGTGGTGTCGGGATTTATGCCTCCTGCACATCACGTCGTGTTTAAGTCACCAGATATTTTGTTCCCTTCAGTGTAGCCCAGAGATAGACGGCAGAGAGCAAACGCCTCCATCCCCCAGAACGGACTGGACGACCACCAAGGAGGACCCAAACCCAGCCCCTCTGGGAAGGCACGTTGTTTCCTGTCCTCTCCTGGCATCTTGCCCTTTCCAGACAAGCCCAGAGACAAGCGGGGCTCCACTTGTAACAAAATAACTGTAAGCCTCCCTCCTTTGATTTCTGTTAGTTAGAAATCTGTATCTCAACGTCCCGCCTGTTGCCAGCCTGATCACCTCCCAGTGAACCTGGCACCTGGATAAACAGAAACCCTCGGGGGCTGGGGCTGGGGTTGGCTAGAGATGGTTTCCTGCTTCCCTGGCCGAGGTGATGGGGGAGGGGGCCAAGAGTCCCCACCCGACTGGGGGACCTTTGTGCTCTGGGGGACGATTTGCTTGTGACCTTGTTTAACTAACAGTTCCGGACAGGAATGGACACTTGTATACTTGACCCAGCTGACCATATGACATTTCTGATGCAAAATCACGCACTGACACGGCCCTGGGGGGACAAGAAAGCCTTCGGAAAGGCCAGCAGTGCCCTCCCAGGCCTGCAGTATTGATGTGCAGTATTGCCCCACGGCTCGTGGACCTTGGTCATTTCAACAGTAGCAGCTTTCTTCGTTCTGTTTGCACTGTTTGTTTATATGGTAATGTTAGCTAATTCTACTGTGTATATAAATTGTATTTTTTTTAATTTGTAAAATTCTATTCTTATTTGAACTCTTGGAACTTGGAAGTTCTCACTATAACTGTAACATGTCAGAATAAAATGTCTTCACCTCCATCATCCTCTTGTCTCCACCGTGCACTTCCTTTAGAGTGGTACACGCTTGGTTTTCATTTCACTCCCTCTCTCTTTCTAATATGTAAAAATTGCACAGCTGGGGAGGGGGTTTATAGTCTCAGGTCTTTTTCTGTAGCTCTCCCAGCAGGACTCTTCATCGCAGGGGGCCACTTACCACCTTAGTATAAGAACCAGTTTAGTCCTGAGGATCTTAGCAAAAACCACCGGTGTTCCCCGTCTCCTGTTCCCCCTTCACATCGATGCTGTTGGGCCTAGTTTACAGGTCCTTTCCTTCTATAAAGCCACCTGTCCTTCCAGCCATTCCTTCCCGCAGCAGTCGGTGGAGAAGCCATTCGGTTCCTGTTGGTGTTGCGTTTAGGAGGCTGCCCCACAGGCAGATCTCCCTGATGTCCAACCAGAACAAATGGACCTGGTGCTGGGGCTGAGGGTGTTTAGCCCTTGCAGCCAGCTTCCGTCGCTGCCACCTGTCATGGCTCTTTGCTCACATTTTGTTTCGCCGGAAACGTGATTTTCTTGGTCTCCAGTTCTGCCTCGAGTTGCCACTCCACAGTGGCAAACGGTCTCAGTCGGCTCAGGTCCCTCCGCCCATCCCCCCTTCCGCCCATTCCCGCTCCCCCCCTCCCCCCCGCCGTCCACCCATCCCTGAGGGTCCTCTGAGTTCCAGGGGCGTCTCTTGTGCGTTTGGGTATTTGGCACATTCAGTGAATTCCATTGGCGAGCACCCGCTGTGTCACTGCGACACCTTGGCAGTGAGCCCAGGTCCCCACTCCTCTCCTCTCAGCAGCTCCCACTCCCCCAGTGCCGGACCTCAGGAGCCGGCTTTGGACAGACCCTTCTTCCTTGCTCTCCACCCTCCTGGTCCTTGTTAGTCCTCTGTTCTTGGCTTTCCACCCTCTGCGTTCAGAGTCCACGTAAGGAACATCTCTAGGAGAAGTGGTTACCTTACTGTTCTTTCCCCACCTCCCTCTCTAACCATCAATTCACTCCTGGCCTCCCCTTCCCTCTACAAGGAGCACGTTGCTAATTTATTTCCTCTTTTCTCAATTTCTGTACCAGACCAGGAGAATTTGACCGACATTTATAGAGCACCCAACGTGCCACGTGCTGCCCGGGCTGCTGAAGGGGCATTGACCCTCCAGGAGCTTGCAGTTCAGGGACACAGACGCAGTTGCATACCCAGACAAATTGTGGTCTATGATAATAGCTATACGATAGTTATAAAAATGCTGCCAGTGAAGAGCTCGATTTGTCCTGGGCATGTGGTGTCAGGGAAGGCTTCAGGGAAGAAGTGGCATTCGCAATGAGCCTTGAGAAATGAGCAAAACGGTCTCATGGGCTCTGGGTAGAGGGCATTCTAGGTGGAAGGAGCAGCATGAATAAGGATGTGGGGAAGCGAAGGTGGAGGGTTGTCGGAGGAGTGTCGTAGAATCTGATTAGGAGAGCGTGGTGTCGGGGTAACGGCTGGGAAAATTGGTCAGAGCACTGCTTCATGTTGCAGGTGAACTCAGGGCCTGGTACTTTCTGCTTTGGGCAGCACGCTTTTCAGAAGCAGATACAAAAAAACTTCTCCAGTGGCTCCCACCTTAGTAAAACCTACAAGTCCAAACACCTTGGACCTGAATTTGGGAAAGCCAATGGCTAATTTTTAAATTTAGTGCCCAAAAGTCACAGAAACTTGAAGTTTGTCAGCACAGCAAACATTTTCTTTCTTCACTTTGCTCAGCTTTTAAACCCAAATATCCTGCCTACTCTTCTTCAGATTAAAAGTACAATTCACTCAGCTGGCGCACTACCTCTCAAAAGGTGTCAGAGAAGAGTTAGTGCCCTCATTTTACATACGTGCCTCTAAAAAATAATAATAATAACAGTAACGAAAAAACACTAAGTGTACAAAAAGTGTCATATTGAGTACAAGCTACGTTCGATGTAACCAGAAGAAAAGCCCAGATGTTTGTAAGTTTTCTTTTCAATAAATAAGTGCCCTGAATGTGAGCAAATCTGAATATAAAGATAAATGCCCTTTTGGTCTCCAGGGGCTTTTTCAGGATCCATGGTGAGGCTGCAGTATGAGTGAGAGCAAGTTGAAAGCTGTGGTTTGAGACCCGACCCCCTACACACACACACACACACACACACACACACACACACACACACACCGTGCGCACGGAGGGAGAAATGAAAGGAAGCCGAAGTTGTCCAAACCCATAGAATGTACACTACCAAGAGTGAACTCGACGTGAACTATGGACGTTAAGTGATCATGATGTGTCATTGCAGGTTCATCCATGGTAACAAATGTCCCACTCTGGCAGGGATGTTGATAATGGAGGAGGATGTACATGTGGGGCGGACAGGGATATGTGGGAAATCTCTACTTCCTGTTCAATTTTGCTGTGAACCTCTAACTGCTCCCCAAAATAAGTTTGTTATTTTTTAAAAAAAAAGGAGGAAGAAAAGAACTGAGCATTATTCTCTTTGACAAAAGGTAAAATGACAAGGACTATCAGGCTGAACTCCCTTCCCCAAGAAATGAAAGAAATCACACCAAGCCTCCAGCTTCTGTCCGTGGTGCTGAAGTTTATTCATTTTCAAACCGATGTCAGTAACAGGTGATTAAAATTTAATGCATGGGTGGGAGAAGTGGAGGAGCCACAACTAAACCACTTTATCTACATTTAGCATAAAATGTGAGAAATGTTGACAGGGGGCTGATGCTTGAATAGGACGCTCGTCACAACTCAACCTGATGGCAACGAGATGGGACAAAGTTGAATGAGAGATCCCAGGGGGTGAGGGTCTCTTGAAGTCTGCCCGGGGCCTGGCCAGCCTTTTCCTCCCTGGCCGTTATCTTCGGTACTACAAAGAGAGCAGAGACATGTTTGGCTTGGTGACCTGCCTCCACTGGAAAAAGTCAGCTTCATAGGACCTTGCTCCCTTCCCACCAGCCCCCCCTCCAGCTTGACGACCCTCTGAGTTCCACGAACTGGTAAACAAATTGTCCATTAGAAGCTAGTAAAATCAATCCTGGTAAATTCCGATCCTTCGGGATCTGACAGTTCCTTGAGGGCCATGAACTGCCAATCAGCAGTACGCAGGTGACTTGGCCCCATGAACATATTAAGTTCCCGGTGCTCCTAGCAGTAACTTCTTTTCCTCTTAGCATTTTCTCAGCAGACTGTAGCTGAGGATGGTATCATGGTTCTGAGACTCATGGGGCACCTACCCAGTTGGGACAGAAATTTCAAAGGGAGTAAGCTTCTGTGCTGTTCCCTTTCCTGCTGAAGGCGTCCCCTGGTGGTATTCTTTCACAAGGTTTCAACCTCAACAAAACCACAATTTCCTTCCCGCCCACCCCATTTCCATCCGCAGTTCCTCTTACCCGGAAGCTGTTGCAGCCCAGTCCACTCTGGGCTCCAATCCTGTCCATCCTGCCCCCGAAGCAGCTGGACCTCCGCAGGCTCCGAGGGGCAGCGAGCAGCGCCCTCAGCTTGCTGTTCAGGAGGGCAGATGTATCGGAGGGTTCCCAGGGGCCCCGCCCAAGGGCACCCCCATCTCTCTGGGCTGGGTGGACCTCCCCGGTCCAGGGAGGCACCTCAGAAAGGGGGCTGAGAGGGACCCCAGCTTCCTCATTCTGATTGCTTAGTACTTGTTGGGGCACAGCCTCATCTTCTAAAGGCATCTTGTCCTCCAAATGGTCCAGCAAGTTCTTTACAAAAGGAAAACAGGGAAAGGGAGAAGTCTCACTGCCTGGCACAGCGTCACAAAGCCCCCTCATCCCAGACCGTGCCCCTTTCCTGGCCCTACCTTGAAATCCATCAGGTCTGCGTTGGACACAGAGCCATACACGGGGTTCGCTCCGGTTTGCCCTGGGAGCTGAAACGCCAGAAAGAGGAGGAAGCTCGCGGCGATGGTGGCAGAGCCCATGCTGGCGTCGGTCAAGGGGTGGTCTGGTACTTGCTGCCTCTTCTCTCTCCTCTCTGCTTTCCCACCCGTGGCCTTCCTCCGTCTCCGTCTCCCAGCTGCCCTGCGCCTCCTCTTTTTATAGCCCCTTGGCTCTCTGAGAGCACAAGAGGGACGGAACCCTCCCCATTCTGTCACTTGCAGCGATAAAGCAGCTGAGCGAGGAGCCAGCAGAAGATGCCCTTTTAAAGTTATCAGTCCAGCCAGCTCGTCACAGCCCCTCCGCCTTGAGCAGCTCCAACGAGCCCGGGACCCCCAGCTGCAGGAGCCACATTCTTGTTGATTTGCCTCAAGAGGTTCCCACTTCAAAGGTGTGAGAAGAGCAAAAAAGAGTCCTTGGTTATCTCACAGCGATGCCTCAGGCTTCTTTCTCATCAGCAGCTGGACCCACGCGGGGAAGCAGAGGGTGACGGTTGGCCGGTGCCCAGCTCCCCCGTTGGTTTGCGGCTCAGCTGTCAGGGACTCCAAATAAGGGCGGGAGGGGAGGAAATGGCAGGCAGCCGGCAGCTCAGCTCAGGACAAATTAGTCCAAATGCTCGAGCTGGCCTCATACCTGACTCATCGGCGGCGAGGGCAGACCTCTCCCTCCACAGGGCTGTCCTGACACCTGGCTGCCACTCTCAGTGGTCAGGTGAAAAGGGATTTATTTTTTAGCATACTACGTCAGAACCAAATGTGACAAATGTCCCAAGAACTCCACTCCCAAATAGAAACACAAGAAAAGTTTTGGGAGCACAATCATTCCTCTGCAAACCTCCCCCCCTTCACCGCACGGCTCCCCCCAAGGCGCTGGGGGAGATTGGCGCTAAAAGGATACCTGCATTTACATTTATAGAAGCTTGCTGCTTCTCAGACTCTGGGTTTGAAGCTTGTAACGCCTCACACCTCGCCGGGAAATCTCCCGTGGCGAAGTTGGCTGATGGAGCGAGGTGGGATGCAGCTGTGGCCCATGGAATTTCCCTTAATGCCTCCCATGTCCTGCTCCAAGGCCAGGCAAGGGATGAGCCACTGAAGCCGCCATTTT